GCAGACAGGTGACTCAGATTGGTAGGAAAAGACTTCTGACAGCCATGCCCTTAGACTGACATGCTCTTTCCCCCTGCATATGGCTTTAGTGAAGTCCTCTGTCCTACAGTGTGTTCTGTTTGCTCTGTGCATACCTTTGTTCCTTGGCCTTTGATATTTGCACAGTGTAGTTTAGAGTGAGTACAAAGTGCATAGCTCTGGGTCAGTAATGTATGGATTGCATTGTGTACTTCCCATCATTGGCTTCTTGGTACACAATAAGGGCACTGTGGAGGGGCCTACAAGGACACAGTGATGGTGTTTTATAAAACGCCAGTGGTGTGTGGCATCCTCTGCAATCTGCTGGGTAAGCAATTGCACAAATTCCTCCACGTTGAGAGACCTCCAGAAATGTCATATTTGGCTTCAGTAAGGAATGCCACAAATAACAGCACAGACACAGGAGACTTTGCTCAATGTCTCAGATTTCAGTCTGCTTTTCTTTAGCTTGGGTCTGTGGGTCTGTTTTTTTTTTTTTTTTTTTTTTTTTTTTTTTTAAAGAGAAACTGCCCATAAGCTGGTCTGCTAGACTTTAAATAAAATATTTTGAAGACATATCTGAATTATCTTGCTTATTCCATCTCCTTAGCTCATCTCTAATATATTATGTAGTATCTTCCAAAACAAGCAAACAAACAAAACCCGGAAAGATGTAGTCTGGTGAGGCGGCTCGGCCAGTGCAGTGGAAGCATGAGGACCTGGAGTTGAAGTCCTAGCGTCCACTTGTACAGCCTGGTGTGGCAGGTAGCACACTGACTCCCAGTGCTGGGGAGGCAGACACAGGATCCCTTGGACTTGCTGGCCAGCAGTGTAGCTGAACCATCGTGCTACGGATTCAGTCAGAGACTCAAACAGCTTATGTGTAAATTTTAATGTAAGAATGGTTATAAAGCAAAGAAATGCTTCAGCTGGCAATATGAAACCACAGGGAAGCTAATGTCTTGATGAAGATTGAGTGAAGCCTGAAAAAACCTGTTGACTTGTCTGTATAAATGGGGCATAGTCTGTTCTTAGGTCAGATGTGGAGTGGTTTTCTACTCATGTACTTCTCCAAAGGTATCTGAAAATGCTTCCATTTACTAAGGAAAAGCTTATGTTGGTTTGTTGCTGGTCTCCCAAACTCTTATTGGCAGGGTGTGTTTGCCTTGGTTCTTGAATATCTGTGGGCTGACAGTCATGAATGAGGACCCAGGAGATTGTGTATGACTTTCAGCCAGAAAGCCTGAATTCTAGACTCAACCCTGCATTAATGATGTGAGCCTCTCTGTCCAATATTGTTCTACTGGGTTGTAATTCAGCAAAGTGCTGCTATAGGAGACATTTAAGCCAGATATGCTTTTCCTTAAAGAACCCAGTCACTGAAATTTGTAAGCGTGGAAGGGAATAGAAGAGTGAGTGTCATAGGTCTGAAATAAAATTACTTCTTAAGGAAGTCTATAGAGTTAGTAAGACAGTCAGGGGCACACAGAGAAATTCTGTCTTGGGAAAATGAAAACAAAAACAAACAAAAAATCCAGTTCTTAAGGAAGATAGTTGAAATATTGGGAGACTGAAATATTTTATAGGAGATGAAAATTTAGAGAGTTGTTTAGAAGCAGAGGCAGAGTTCTGACATTTGAAAATAATTAGAAAGGCTGGTGAATGGCTCAGTGGGTTAGGGAACCTGCTGCCAACCTTTACCTCATTGTGGTCTGCAGAGCCCACGTGTACAGATTGTTCTCTGACCCTTATGTGCCATAGGACACACATAAAAACTTTTTAGTTTTTTAAATGAAGATAATGTGAGATATAACCCAAAACTGTAATTTTAGCTCATGAACCAACTTTTTTTAATTTTGAAAAAAAATTTTAATTAAAATATAACTACATCATTTTCTCATTTCCGTTTCCTTCCTGCAGTCCTTCTTATGTCCCTCTCCAGTGCTTCTGATACTCTTCACTCCCAACCGTAGTCTCTTAAATGCAGGGCCTCTTTTTCTTTGATTATTACTGATGTATATGTGTGGAGTACCAAGTGGTCAGCCCAGAAATCATATATGTGCAAGCCACTCAGAAAGATGTATCCATAAGTACACATACATACAAGTTGTTATTTGGGATAATTATAAATGAGAATGTCTTCCATTTTGCTTGGTTGGCATATGTTCCTTTGTGGTCCTTTTGTGTAATAGAACTATAATTGTATATAAGAAAACAAACTCATGGCTAGACATATTTTTGTATGACTATAATCTACACTCAGGAAGCTGAGGCAAGAGGCTTTCAAAATTGAGGCCAGCCTGGATGGACAACATTCTAATACCCTAGCTCAGAGAATATAAGTTGCCTCCCTAGACAGAAGTATAAGTGTTAAGTTTTACAGATACCATTAATTCTAAGCAGACCAAGGAAAACTGGATTATTTTAAGTCCTGTAACTTCAATCATGTTTACCAACAGCTTATTTGTTTTTTCAGAACAGTTCATAAAAAGTCCAAGATAGTCCTCTGTGAATCCATGAAATACCTAAAACATTTTCTTAAACATGTCAAACACCAAATTTAATTTTCTCATTACCATTTTCAAGTGCTGAGCAACAAGGCAGTGTTTTTCTTCTGTTTATTTTTTGTCCTTGACAGATGAATAAAAGTTTTTGAGGCCATTTGTATTTTATTCATTATTGTTTCTTCACTGTGTTAACATGGGAAGTGACATCTACTATTGCTGGATTAGTATGTTAGCCTTCTAGCTCGGCAGTCATTTGTCAATGGTGCAGTACCTAGTAGTCATAATGACCAGCCTGCTCATTGTGAGATGGTTTTCCTTTTTCTTCTTACTGTATCCTACATTATCTTTGAGCAGAAATTCACTCAGTCAGACTTTAATAAACACCAAAAGTGAAAAAAATGCCCCTTAAATATCTGTATTCTCTGCTTCCAAAAGTCATTCCCTCCTTTAAAATTCACGTGATGTCATAGTCTTAATAAAGGGGTGTGTTTTCTTAGGGACAGTTACTGGTTCGTAGTGTTCTCAAAGCACTTGGAGAAGAGAGATTCTGAATGGGATTTTGTGTTACAACTGTGCACAGTCAGCCAGCCTCTTAGCAGCTGCTAAAATATCTGCATCTTAGGGATGGAAGTCTAATAGGAGGAACAATCTGCATATCAAACAATACTTGGATAATTGTAAGGTGTGGGCTCAGTCAAAGAGCAGATGGAAGTAGGATTTAGCTATGGTTGGTCCAGACATTTTGATGTATCCTGTCTTATTAACTTGATTCTTATGAGAGCGATTAGGAAGTTACAGATAGGAGAATACATGGTTTTCTCATTGTCACACTGTCTAGTAACAGAAAAGATGTTTGCGAAGTATTGAGTGATGTTCACTGGGTCTGACTCCAGTCCCCATGCTGGGGCTCAGCATATTAACACCAGACTGTGGGGGTGGCTTTGTGGATGTGTTCCTGGTCTTTTAGGATAATACTTACCAGTAGTGCATGTCTCTGAGATAAAACTAGTGAAAAGATATGAGTTTATAAAAAAATGACTTTAAGCCAATGTTGGAGTGTGTTTTCTCTGTGATGTATTTGTAGATATTGTCTTAGATAGCTCTTTCAAATATTCCTTATTTCAAGAACCATGACCAGTAACTACACGATTTTCATTTGTTGTTTGCCACATAGTTTGTGCTATGTTCTGTTATCTACACTCAACAACTCTTAAAACTGGTGGTGTCATATCTCTTGTTAGAACTAGTGATGTATTTAGATCTCAGTGTTTCTATATACTGTAAACATGTAAATAATTGAAGCACATATCTAGCTTAGTAAAATTAAATATCAACTGCTAATTGTGAATCCACAGTGATGGATATTGCACATTGCTTATGGTAATGATTTGTGTGAATTTCTCCTTCATTTACTACTGACATAACAGCTACATTTTAGAAATGTTACGAAATATTTAGTAGAAGTACCATATTCTATTCTCCAATATTGATAAATTGGTTTCTCTCTCTCTCTCTGTCTCTCTCTCTCTCTTTCTCTCTCTCTGTGTGTGTGTTTGTGTGTATGTAATGTCTATGTACTGCATGAATGGATAGGTGCATATTTTGACATTGGGGTGTTCACTGAGGCCTCTAATTTTATTGGCCCTGTTCTAATTTCATTGGCCCTCTAGTTGTGGCATCTGTATGTGCCTGTGAGGAGGAAGTGTGTGTCTGACTGAACTCACAGTTGGGTAAGTGTCTATATTGGAAATGGGTATGCTCTGTCACTGGTAAAATGACCATCACTCTTTTTCATGGCTTCCAGGGCTTTTAAATCTCTAAAGAGTTAATACTATATTCCCTAAAAGACTGGAAATGAAAGTGTAATTTAAATGGAACATGCTGGTATTTTACAAATATCTTGGGAAAACAGTAACAGCAATAAATACATAAACAAATAAATAAAACCTCAGTGCTGATAGGATGAGTTGTGAGAAATTACATCAGACAGTTTTCATAGGGCAGCATTCTTTTAGGAATTGTTGTGAGTCATCAGGTTTTAAGGGAAACACTTTGAACATATTTCTTTACTGTTGTTCATATGAGTAGATGAATAGTCAATATTTTGCTTTTTTAATCTTAGGAATTAATGAGACTAGCAATAAAGCAGAATGCATTTAGCTGTCTTCATTTTAGAATAATATTTTGCAATGTTAGAACATTTAAAAATACTTTATATCCATTTGTAAGAAAAATGTGGTGCTTTTAAAATACTCTTTTAATATTTATTAGTATACAAAAATGATTTTATGGCATTTTTCATGCAGTATTTGATTTTGTTCTCCCCTTCTTCATTCTCTTGAATGCTTCTAACCCCAGTATCTTCCTTCTTATTTCATGTTACATAGGTCCTTTGCCCCTTTCTCAGTCAACACATCTTGTTTCCCTTTTGTGATCTTCTTTAGAAAAGTGAAGATTTGCTTTGTTTTTCTGCAGAAACGTGCTAAGGGACAAGTGTTATTTGACAAAGTGTGTGAACACCTCAATCTCCTGGAGAAGGACTACTTTGGGCTTCTATTTCAGGAAAATGCTGAGCAGAGAGTAAGTAACTTCACCTTTGTCCTTTAGAAAGTACTCTAATTTTCTAATCAGTTAATTTCAGAATAAATTTAACTAATTTACATGCATATTAGATTTTTAGTAAATATTTAAAAGTGATTATGGGAGAGATTCATGCTTTTTGGCATTTGATGTATATAATGTTTTCTCATGTCATAAGCAGATGGAATGGAATGTTTTCCTATTTTAATTGAGACTGAAAAACCTGAGTATAAAATTATATGAAAGCTCTAGCTCTTCAGTTCACAGTGGAATGAACTTATGTGATGGATTGTTGAGGAGAAAGTACTTCAAATTACAAAATTCAGTAGTGGGAAAATCCATCTAACATGAAGACTGTCTTTTAAAGAATATTATCTAAGTTATGTTCCAGTTTTGCTTCATGGTACTAAATACAGTGGCTGGCTAAGTAGGATCATTTGGCCAACATATGGATGTGCAATCACCTGAATAGTAGTTATCGAATGAACCTGAGCATTAGGGAAGTGGGTGCACAGAACAGTGGGGAGTAAGAGTGTCCACGAGTAGATACTTGGGAGGAAGTATTTGTCTTGCTTAGTGGGCCTTAGTGACTTTGTGTGGCAAAGGTACTCCTGTCTTTGTTGTTGGGCTGTTGAGGGCAAAAGAGATGGTTGGGCCAGCTCTCTCAGGTGATATGTTTGACCAACCAGTGCTGGATTGACCCTGGTAGTAGATCTACCTGATGTCAAAGAGTGTGCTGAGAACATGTCTAAGAGTTTTTCCAAGACATTAAGCAAGAGCATAGGGTGGTCTGTGCTCTGAAGCTCATACTAATTTTATTGCACTTCAGAGATTTTCAGTTTCACAGGTAAAATATGGATGGAAATATTAACCCTAGGAAAGGGGCTTTCCTCTTCTGCTTCAATTTCTGAGTGTCTAGAATTGGTGTGGGTGAGTAGATGCTGACAGTAGGAGTGAAGAATGTAAGTTTGTCTTGAGTTGACCCTACAGAGGAAGCCTGTTTAGTGTGTTGGGTTGCTGCTGTCAGGCATTCTGTTTTAGGGTATATAGAGCACTCAGTTGCCGTGAAAGAGGTTTCTGTCTAACATCAGGCATTCATATCTCAGTCAATAGAACACAGTAGTCATTAGAGGAGGCATAGTGTTCATTTTGTTATTTGCCTGCACAGTATGATTGTTTGTATTTATCCCAGTAATGAAATAAAGGTTTTAGTTTTGTGCATGATAATTATATGCAAATTAAATTTTCTCAACTTGCTCAGCTTTAAATCTCTGATATGTAATTTGTGGTTTAATTTTACCTTTAGACTAAAGACAAATTGCATGCCTGATTGTTGAATAGTATGCATTTTTATTAGAGCTGTTTGTAAGAAGTAATAACACACTTCACTAAATAAACGCGGCGCCTTATAAGGCAGTAAATTACAAGTTGGTCTAGGTAATGGTTCCAGTCAAGTGCTTGTCTGTTGCTCTTCAAAGCTCCAAACGAGGAAGTGCTGGGAACTTGGCACTTGTATCTTTTTCTGAGATTGTCTATTGGTAGATTCATAAGAATGTTTAATTTTTGTAAAATATAAAGGCAATTTAGTAAGTTGTAAATGCTTTGTTAGTACAAGCAAGATAAACAACATTAGAAACTAATTTCTGAAACATTCCTTTTGAATAAGATAGTATTTAGACAGTAGGATTTACTTTTTTTTTTTTTTAATTTAAACTTCTAATACAGATGTCTAGTCCATGTCTTACACTTGAACCTTTGTTCTGTTTACTCAGCTGTCTATACTTCTGATCTAGAAGCAAACTTTATCTTCCGCTTAAGTGGCACCTATCCCTGAAGAGTAGTTCTGGGCTCTTGTTTCTCCTTAAGTCTGTGAATAGCCAGGTGTCTGAGATTTCCCTTAGTTAAAAACACTGAATGTCTACAGTTTAATTCCCTGCAGTCTGCTTGAACTTCTCTTCTCAGCACTGGCTCATAGCAGTTGATTTCAGTGCCTGCCAGAATCCGCTTCCCAAGTGAGCCTTGTGTGTCCATCTTCCCAAGCAAGGCATGTCTGTCTGCTCATACGTATATGCCAAGTTGATTGGCAGTTTCTTTCGCTCATTTCTTGAATACCTGCCTTTTCTAAAGAGCTACCCAAATATCCTACTGTGACAGCCCCCGCCCAGGGGCTGTGGGAGGGGGTTGTGATTGTGTGCCTTCTACCATCCTCAAAGTTCAAGGGATGTGAGTTAACACTTTGCTTTTAGCAACATATGTGGCCCAAACCTTTTTTGTGTGCTGTTTTTTTTTCTATTCATTATTCTGTATCTGAAAGTAGAATGATGAAGTCTAGTGAGGTAGAGAGTTTTGTGATGATCCAACATTTGGCTTTGAAAGGGCATGGCCAAACTTGGGAGGGTCATTGTTACTGCAGATAATAAGATAAGAAGGGGCTGGGAATAGACCTCAGAGGTAGACAGTTGGGTCTCTTCCCTCCAAGAATATGTGCGGCTACAATGTGATGCTTACTGAGGTGTTCTCAGTGAGAGAAAGATGCCAGTGCTGAGGGGGTTCAACAGTCCTCATTTAACTTTGGTTAGTGTTTTCCTGTGACATCTCAGATGGAAATGCAAAATTAGATGAACACTTCTGTAATATGACAGTTTTAAGAGCATACAGAGAGGTCTCCTTCATGAGGCACTCACTTCTCAGGAAATGAATGCTCAAATATAGTTGAGTATATTAAATTACTTATGTGACTATAAAGTTCCTATTGCATAGCTTTTTAGATACCTTACTGTTTATGTATAATAAATATGTATAGGCAAAATCCAGTACTCAAATTCATTTAGGTGAACTTTCCTTCTTCCCAGGATAAGTGTGTATAGTCCCTCTTTTTTATTTTTTTGCTGCAGAAATTATTATTGTCATATCAATTTAGCTTCAGTGGTCCTACTCTGAAGTTCTTGAGGTTTCCATTGTAGGAGATTGGGGTGTCTTTCTTTGTTTTGTGTGTGTGCCAACCGAGCCCATGTTGAGCCACTTTGCTGGACTTCCAGCTCTCTTTCTTTCTTTTGATAAATATTATGTGTTTTAAGAGATGTTTCAGGTATGTACTATAGCCTTTTGTGAAGTGGAAGTCGGGCAAAGCTATAAATATTTTATATAACAATTTGTCACGAGGGAACTCTAAAATGCCTTTGGTTTTAGTGTAATTTTGTATCTCTCAGTTGTGATCCTGAGTTGGAAATCTTTCAGCTCATTTGATTAATAAAATGTGACATGGCTAGTGTTCAAACTTTTCAGTGTCTGTTGAAAAGTCTCATAAACTTTGCTATAGAAAATGTTAAAAGTATATAGAATCAGGCAGCTTGTTATTCTTTTATACAGAATTACAAGTCTGTGCAGTTTTGATATTTATGTCTAAGTGAATTTATCATTAAGGATACTGAACTTTCCTTAAAGAGAAGAATAGTCTTAAATTTTTGTTGTTTATATTAGAGTTTGACAGTTGGCCCAGGCATTATATAAGTCACTTTATTGCAAGGAGTGCTTGTTAGAAGTCTAGTTGATAGCGAAGCTTACTTTTTGCATATTAAAACAGTTGTCTAATAGCCAGAGTATATCTCCCCAGGAGCAGAACTTAAAGCTCATGGTAAACTCTGCACTTACAAACTAAGCAAGAGTCTATATTCATTTCATTTAAACTTTATAATCCTCATTCTTCAGATGTATAGTAGGTTTCACTGTGACATGGAAAGCCTGTAACTTTTCCTTTTAATATCAGCATTTCCATAGACTAATGTTGGACCTGATATGCTTAAAATATATAGTAAAAGGATCTCCTTCAGCACCATTTATTATTGTAGAAGAATGGAGATTTAAGAATTTGCTATACAAGGTGGATTTGTTTGAAAAATTCTGAAATCCTGAGATTCAGCCTGGAGAGTAATGTGAGTCTATAAAATAGTAGGTTTTTGTTTCAGTCAGGTAGATGTTGTGATTTCTGTTTGTTGTTGAAGAAAGCAAGGCTTAATGGGGATACAAAATGTTTCTAAGACACAGAATTTGTGGTCAATGAAGTTTGACTCCACATATTTCTAAGCCCAGTCTGTATTTGTGGTTATGTGAGCCAATTCTTTCACATAGAAAGCATACATACTAATGTTTCCTGAGGGGATGGATGGTGTGCATGCTTATGCTTATCTTATGTACTTAAATGTGTCTACTTGCCACCATCTTTAATCTTATCATCTCTTTTATTCACTGATGCTACTTTCCATGTTTTGGTGCATCTTATGCATCATTCATTTTTTTCCTTAAGTGTCACCCAGAGAAGTTGGTTGTTATTATTTTATTTTATTTTTTGTTTAATAAGTATGGTTATGCACACATGTAATTCCCCAGCACTTGGGGAAGTGAAATAGGAGGGTTGGGAATTCAAAGACTTATCTTCAGAATCAAAACACAATAGCAAAAGTAGTTTATGATTGTTTATGTGTGGTAGCAATCTAGAGAAATACTTAGATTTCATTGTGATATTGTACTAAAATAGTTTTAGTTTTTGCTTGAGAATTTATGATACTAGACAAGAAATCATATACCAACCATAATCTAAGTACTCAAAGGTAAAAATAAATTTAATAAAATCATGTGTAATCATTTAAGATGACTACATCACGGAGAGGAAGGAAGCGGAAATGGACAGATAACAATATACAGGTATTGATTTTTAATACTTAACATTAAGTGCCCTAAAATGCCAAGTAACCTAGAGAATGTGAATTATGTAGTCTGTCCATGCCTATGCACAACTGTAGGCTCAGAGAGTGGGCAAGACTTCCTGACTCCTTGGGAGGAATGGAGCTCCCAGAGTGGAAGTCAGTGTGGTTAGGAAAGGGAATTTCTGCTGCTTTGACCTATGGTGGAAACAGCTCTGTGGTCTCTGGGTAAAGATCTTGTGCTGGGTAGTTTTTATTGCCAACCTGACACATCCTAGAGTCACTTAAGAAGAGGGAGCCTCAGTTGAACTGCTAGGATCTAAATGGTCCATGGCCATTAGTCTTGTGTTTTAGTCTTGTTTGATGGTAGATGTGGGAAGGCCGGACTCACTCACTATGGGCAGCACCATCTGTAGGAGAGAAGCTGTGAGCTACTTAAGAAAGCTAGCCGAGGATGAGCCAGAGAGAGCAGAGAGCCAGAGAGCAAGCCATATGCAGAATTGCTCCATGGTCTCTGCTTTGGGTCTTGCTTGAGTTGCTGCACTGACTCCCTCAATGGTGGGTTATGAGTTGTAAGTGTAAGCAGTGTAAACACTTGCCTCCCCTAAGTTGCTTTTGTCCGTGCTTCTAACATAGCAAGTGAAAAGCAATCCAGAACAGATCTGGCATAAGAAGCCTTGACAGTCAGTGTTGTGGGAAGTGGCCTAAGGGTGAGAGTCTCAATTTGGCCTGTCATCTTGTCACTCATGAATGTCTAGATCTGTAAACTCCTCCCTCTGCTCATTGTAATGAAGCAATTTGGAGGGATTAGTGTTTCAGAGAAGGATGGAGGGTGTGATAGCTTGGACCTGGGGGTTAGTCTGTGGGTTACAGAAGATGACATTGCTTTCCATCCTTCTTTCCTGGAGCACAGGCACCTTTTGTTTCTCCTTAGCAGACATCTATGTGAGCTTATCCTCGAGGAAATGGTTTGGGAGGTCTGTCCCTGAGACCAGCAATGTTCCCTTACTGTCTTTCTGTGTTGGTGATATAAAGGATCTTGTCATTGGCATTTGCTCTAGTGGTCTCTGATGCCATTTTTCTTTGTGTGATTGTTACTTCCTTGTTTTCAGGGCCACACATTTATAACCTTCCTTCTCTCCCCAGCCTTAGTCCAGCCTGGGTTAGAAGCTCAATGATGTGTTTTTCTTGGTCTTGTACACTTGACTTAGTTGGCATTTGTGAGCCAACTGTGTGTAGGACAGCAGCTGCAGGGTAAGGAAGCTGAATGCTGTACTCTTTTCTAAGTGGAAAAAATAGAGCTGCTTCCTAACATGGCACTAGAGGTACCATTACAGGGTCCCACTGGCTCCTCTATGCACCATGCAGCTGGGATACCAGTAACAATGAAACTGGACCATGCTATGGTGGCTCTTTAATGAAAGCTTTGAATATGACTAGTGTTAGGACAGAGGAACATATACCTTGGATCCTTGCTTCCAGAGTTCAGGCTGTGAATAGTATAGTAAAATCCGAGGGCTACTTTGAAAGGATGCTGTTGTTAGTACTTTTTACTAGTGTGTCATGGTCTGTTGAATCATTTCCATAGATTGACATCATTATTTCCTATGTAACAACAACTATTTTATTGTTGCCATATGGGAATAAAATTGTGTTTGATAATCGTGTTATCATGCATTGCTTGGGACACCTGTGAAAAGCAGACTTTCTTTCTGTGGTCACTTGTCTGAGTCTGTGTTGTATCAGAATAAACGTGTGTGTTCTGAATTAGGAAGGTGAATGGATTTCTTATGGCTTAATAGTAGGGTTAGAAAAATACAGTACAAATTTGTTAAAAATTGGGAACTGGTTATTTTACACTTTGAACTATTTAGTATCCTTAAGTGGTTCAAAGTTGGTGGGTTTTTTTGTTTGTTTGTTTGTTTGTTTTGTTTTTGTTTTAAACTCCCAATTAAAATTTGGTTTGTATATTAGCTTTCTCAAAAAGTATAAATGAGAGGCAAATGGAAGGATGTTCCTTACTTAGAATTGTGTTTTCTAGCTTCAAATGAGAAAGGAAGAAAGGAAGGAAGGAAGGAAGGAAAAAAGGATGTTAAGGCCAGAAAGGACAATATTGTCTGCACCCTGTTGTTCTCTCTTCCTAGCATGGAAGAGCTATTGTGCCAGGAGACTGAGGAGGCTGAGGGATGTGACGACATTGGCTCTGGAGGTTGAAATTATTGTCTCAGGCCGTGTATACTCTGAGGCAGCAGTTTCCAGTTCACATTTTATCCTTCTAAGTAAGAGTGGACTGTGAACAGCTAATTACCTCAATGTCTGAGGGATGATTTGTGAACAGCTATGTACTAAAGATTATATATAGTGAAATTACACCTTATCATTAAATACTTGGATTAACTTCCAAGGGAATGAAATTCATGAAATTTCACCTTAAAGAAATTTTGTATTCTCTTTCTTTGCCTATGTATCTCTCTTTCTTCATCTCTTCTTCTCTCTCCCCACAACCATCCCAATAGAATGCTAATAGGCGAAAGCTACTTAAAATGTACTTTATGAGATGTGAGTTATGACCTGTAAATCCTTTCATTTGATTTTGGGGGTATTTTTTATGGTTAACTAATTTTTCTTCCTTTCCACAGAACTGGCTAGATCCCGCAAAAGAAGTTAAGAGACAGCTGAGAAGTGAGTATTTAAAGAACCGTACTCAAATCTGTAATATGTCTGTCTTTAATGAAAACCTATAGGGACAAATACTATAGTAATAGCAGAGAATATGGTGATGGTTCTCTTTTGCATGTTGAAGTCAATGCTACCTTAAGATGCTTGTAGAATTGTGGCTGTTTAGCTGGGTATGGTACCAGCTGCTTGCAATCCTGACATTCTGGAGGCTGAGGCAAGGGGTCATGGGTACCAGGCCATTGTAGGCTGAACAGTGCAATCCTACCTCAGAAAAACAAAAAACTGAAAGTATCGTGACTATAGATGGCTTAGAGACTCTCCCCTTTCCAAACGCTATAGGCTTATTCTTACATGTTTGTGAAATCTACTGGTATGAAGTAACAGCCTGACTTTTAAAAAATACATTGGACTTTTTGGGGTGAAATTTATGTGTATGTATCTGAGTGTGTGTGTGTGTGTGTGTGTGTGTGTGTGTGTGTGTGTGTGTGTGTGTGTATGCACTCATGCGCATGACAGACGTCTGCTTTTCGTGCCTTTCTTTTGATTACTTTCCACCTTGCTTTTTGAGATAACATTTCTCACTGGACCTGGAGCCCATCAGTTTGACTACATTGTCAAGCCGTTGAATTTACCCTTCTGCCTGGCATCCAGTGCTCCGCTCCCCAGGCTGGGGTTCACATGCATGCCCCTGCTGTGCCCTGTTCTCACCCGGATGCAGGAGACTGAGTTCAGTCTTCATGCTTGTTCAGCAGGCTTTACTGACTGCACCGTCCCCTCACCCTCAGATGGCACTTCGTGTTTGAGACCGTTTGCTCTGTGTAGATCTAATACAAGTGTACACACATTTTAGTTTGCATCTGTAAATTGTAATTGTTAAGCATATCCCAAGTCCTAGAGGCACATAAGCACATTGTTCATATCTACTGGAGTGAACGCTTCAGGATCAACGCTGAGCTGGTCTATTTTTTCCAGAGCTGCCTCTCTTCTCTGTTGGTCATTCCAAAGTTCCAGCTTGCTTTACTTGCCTTTGACTCTGGGTTTGCAGTTAGTGTTGGTCGTTCCTGAGCATTTTTACCATTCATTTTCATTGTAGTAATTTCCAGGTGACCTCATGCTTCCTGCTTATCCATCCTCAGTCCCTGTGTAGATGTGCCTCTGCACATTGCCTTCCCTGGGGTACAAGTGCCAAAATATGTTGGAATTGCTGAGAAGTCTCTGATGGGGGATTCGGTTCTTCCTTCAGAGTATTTGAGTACCTGAAACAGGTACCAGGTAGGGATCAAGGGCAGCCTGGAGCACTTGGACCAGCGGGAAAATCTGAACAGTAGACAAGTCCCTCACAGCCCTTCTAAACCAGGACAAGCCATCCCCCGAGATGTTCCCTGTATTATTGATAACATTTCTACACTTTCTATTTCTTTATTATTACTGTCAAAACAGTGAAACAATTTTGTTTGTGCTTTCTATCTTCTGTCTCCCATTTTACTATCCACTCTTTTATATTAGTTTTCTGTCTCCTTAATAACAAAGCTTAGTCTTACTATCATTTCCCCCTTCTATATATTTATTTATTTATGGGCAGGATTTCTCTATCGCTTGTGCTGACTATGAATTCATAATGCTGAGCGTTGGGATTATGGGAATCTTATAATCATGCCTGATTTTCTGGTCTGTATTTGGGCTTATCTGTTGTTTTCATAGCCTCTTTTTGTAGATTCACTTGATTTACCTTTTAAGAACTTCTTATTGGCCAGTCTTTCTGCCTTGTCTAGGACTGAGGCACATTCTAGAATTTGGGACTTTGAGTGTGTAGCTAGAATAATGCCATGCATTCTGGAATGATTGACCATCCTCTCTTGAACTACTCTGACATCCAGCATCCGCTGCCTTCCCCCTCCTTCTCTTTTATTATTTGCTGTTTCATCACAATGGGAAAGCAGAGAGGAAGCAGTGGGAAGGCAGAGCTGCTTTATGCTGGCATTGCTGAAGAAATGGTCACAGACATTCTTCCTTTGTCCCTTCTGTAACCGATAACACACTCTCTGAAGGGTGTGTCTCATAAAGATAGGATGCTTATACTTTCTCTGAACCTAGATCTGCCAGGTGACCCAAAAAGAAAGAACAGGGCACTTGTCCAAAATGTGATTGATGGCCCGTAGAGTTCTTTCCTGAGTTTGCTTTATGCCACTTATTCAGAGTTTCCAGATACTTCCTGTTGGAAATTGCCCTTCAGAAGAAAGCTTAAAAAGAAAGTTTGAAAACTTGTCAGGAAACTGTGCAAGTAAAAGTGTTTGAAAAACTTGGAAAGCAAGACTCCCGTTGATGATGAATCACGTTCTTATGTCTTGGTTATTTTTGAAGTGTTTTTTTAGTTATTTTGGGACATTTGCCCTCGTAGTTTGGCAAAGGAATTGCAGTAGCAATTCAGAGTGGTTTTTCTAAACCAATGGAATTCTTTAAATGATATCCAGCACTGTCTCCTCATGGAATGATGGAATGCAGCTTAGAAAGTGTAGTTTCCTGTTGCAGTAGATAAAGAATGTCTCATTTTGTTTGTCCTATTGCTAGGCAGTTAGAAAACAGATTGTCTGAGTTACCTAATGGTTCCCACTTACAGTTTACCTTAAATTTTGGTTTTCTCAGTAGTATACCTATTAGGCTGTATGTCTAAAACCTACCTGTGGTTGTTTTTTAAATAATCCACAATTGGCTGAACTGCTTTTTTTTTTTTTTTTTTTTTTTTTTATGTAGCCAGGTAAAATCAGAGATAACAATTAAATTAAAAACTACTAGTAGATTTTAAGTGTACTCACCACAAAAATAAGTATGTGAGGTATTTTTTGTTAACTTATTTCTTTCAGCCATTCCATGATGTATACATATATTTCATGTATCTTCTGTACCATAGATAAACCATACAATTTTTGTTCATTATAAATGTTTATTTAGCATTCTTGGGTTTTTGGAAAAATACATTCTAAAATATAGAAGTTCTAATAAAAATATAAGCATATGGCCATACCTTGGTAGCTCTGTGCTACTGTTTTACCCCTGGAAACATAGGTTATCGGGAAAAGATAGTCTTGCTGTGACTTTACTTGGTTATGGATTGGTGGTCTTGGACCCCCCCCCCCACAATTAGGATGTGTGCGAAGTTTGACATGGAGTGGTCCTATAGGTCTACATTCTAAATCCTGAGAAACTTTTATCTTAAAATATGTCAGGGTATTTCCCTATTCCTACTTTCCCATCATCAAAATATTTTTTGAATGATTTCATTATGCTGACAGACATTTCCTGAATATCTGCTGTGACCATTTGATCATTTTCATGTTTTGCCAACAATGTGGAAATCCCAAGGTTATTTTTTTTTTTCTTTTAATTTAAAGGAACAGTGACTAGCAGCTAGAAATCCCATGGGTGAAACAAGTTCATCTCGGAATTATGGAATGGAGATCATTCAATTTATTGTATAATAAACCACCATATAAAATATTTATTTATAAAAAGTAAACCTATTCTCTAGTGGCTTACTTATGTTAATTTCTAGGTGACACTAAATTGCTCAAAATAAACTGTTATTGTTAAATAATCGAGGTTTTATAATTACAGATCTTCCTTGGCTATTCGCTTTTAATGTGAAGTTTTATCCTCCGGATCCTTCTCAGTTGACCGAAGATATCACCAGGTACCTTGCATTAATATTTTAAAATGAACCTTTGCTTGTGACTATTTATTTGAGTATGGTTATAACTTTAGGACTGAAAATAAAATGCAATGAAAAATGTATGGTATAAATTTTTGCCTGCATATCTGTATGTGCATCTTATGCATGCCTAGGACACACAGGGCAGATGAGGGAGGTGAGTTAAGGTCATTCTGAGCCAGTGCATGGGTGTTCAGACGCCAACCTGGGCTCCCTGTAAGATCCCTAAATGCTCTTAACAGCTAGACCATGTGCTTCCCCTCAAAGCAGTTATATGTATATTTGTTTCCTTGCTTGCTTATTGTGCACTTGGGAGTGCATGCCAGGGTACACATGCACTTTGTGAAGTAAGAAGATAACATTGTGGAGTCTGTTCTCTTCTCCCACCTTGATAGGGGTCCTGGGGATTGAACTCAGGTCAGGTGTCTTTGGTCTTCGAGTGCCTGTAGCTACTGAGCCATCACACTGGCCTCACAGCAGCTTTGAAAACAAAACAAAACAAAACAACAGAAACTTAGATGTTTATTTCACAATGGATCTTGTTCCAAATAGCTGAAGCATTGCCAGTTTTAAAACTTATTTTTTTGTATTGTTTTTGGTTTTTCCTATTATATTTAAGTCATAAAGCACTAAGAAAATATTGCTGGCAGCTTTGCCTGTGTTAGTTTCATTGTATAGGTATCATATTAGACATTTATTGCCAAGATTGGAAAAATGGCAGGTGTTTGTTTATTTTTACCTTGCCACCTGTTGCTGAATACCAACACACCACTGTGCTAATTAATTACTTCTCATATCTTAATCATGCCTCAATTCACTTAGCTCCAACTAGTAAAAAATAAATAGTGGTTGTAATAAATAAATGGTTCAATAAATAAACAGTGAGTTGCTTAGGCTCTAATCTCTGGTGTGTTGGCATGTAGGGGATAGAGTTTCTCTGCAAGAGTGCCTTTTAGCCATAACTATAATGGATTTGTGATGCAATGCCTTCTGTCATACATGCTCTTCCTTGCAGTAATCTGGGAAAAGATAATTCTCTGATGATTACAGCTTTACTACACAGGCATATGCTTAATTTTCCATATAAGTAGAGTAGTGCTTGAAAAGTTTCCCATTCTGTGGAGGGAAGAATGTTAGGGTCTGCTTTGCTATTAAAGACTTGTGTGTAGCATGATTAGCCACCCACTTGAGATCTATAGATATCCCGATTGAAATCTTCACTGTGAGTTGACATTTAGAAGGTCTTTTGAAGAGGCTGGGAACAGTATTGAGAATGAAGTCTCATACCATGTGAAGAAAATAGAGCTGGGGCATTCGGAAAGCTCTTGCCAGTTTGTGTTGGGAAGCTTTAGGACTTGGCTCTGCAGGTGGGAGGGCTAGCATAGCATGCAGGGTAGAGGGACAGCAGGAGGGGCGGGCAGCAAGTGCTGTGACTGTCAGTGCTGTAAGGGGGGGGGCTAGCACAACCACTGGTGGGAGTTAGGGGACAGCCTGGAAATTCCATCTTCTAGAGAGTTCACTGACGTTTGTGTGGTTCTAGAGGTCAAGGGAACACAAACCTCCTTAAAAAGAGAACTTCTGAAATGCATGAAAATACAGCATCAACGAGAAGACTCATTTACCTAGAAAATTGTAAAGCAGTTGCCAGTGGTTGCATGAATTCTTTGTAAATGTGTGACTGTGATGATCCTAGAGTTCCTGTCATTGGGGGATAGACCCCATGGAAAGTCGGGTATAACTAAATTGAACTGAAATCTGGTGTGGGAACCAGACTGCTCTGTATGACTCATGGCCTTGAGGCTGGCCTGGAGGCGGTGTTTTCCTCACCTGTGGGGTAGAGAGCAAGGAAAGGGAGAAAATTGGGCCTTACAGCCACGGGAAAGACCAGGCGTCCACACTGAGAAAGTGGTCAGCAGTTACTAGAGACGACAACCCTGAAAAGACCTTTTTAAATGAGATGCCACAGTTTATTTCAAGGTCATAGAATGGTGTAGTGAGACAGTTGACTCACTGACTGCAGGTAGCTCTTGTTATATCTACCATTTAGGATTCCCAGGCTTCCTGCCAGGTGTTTATTTATGCACCTAACTTTTACTCACACCTTCAAAGACTTGTCATTGCTCAGGCAGCACAGTAGCCTCAGGCCGGTACATTCACTTGCTTAGGACTACAGATCAGCTCTCTTCACTTCACGTGCTTGCTGGGTCTTTGAAACTGAGCTAGCTATCTCCATACAAGACAGTGGACAAGCAAGGGCTTCACCATAGATTTAGTATGAGTGTCCTTAAAGGCATTTCATGAAAAGAAGAAATTAGTATGAAAACCATAGAGATGAGCAAGAATGAATGACTACCAATTTTTCCTTAGGATTATTCTTGATTGCTATCAAGATGTCTATGCTCCTTTCATCCTGCCACTTGGGAGTTAGAAACAGGTGGGTCTCTCTGAGTTAGAGACCAGTCTGGCCTACGGAGTGAGTTGTAGGACAGCCAGGGCTACACAGAGAAACCTTATCTTGAAAAATAGCAACAAATGAATTAAATTTTAGACTTACTTTTTATAATAAGCCACAAGGGTAGAAGCTCGGGGAGCAGAGAAGAACTTCATGTTATGGAAAGATGATTTTTGCTGTGAATATAAACAGTTCCACCATGCATGTTAGCAATGGAATGCTACACGTTAAGGAATTGAGGGGGTTGCGGTGTTAACTGGTGTTTCTTCACACTTTCCTCTCCCTGTTCGTCACAGATACTTCTTGTGCCTTCAGCTGCGGCAGGACATCTTCTCTGGCCGCCTGCCCTGTTCCTTCGTGACTCATGCCCTCTTGGGGTCCTACACATTGCAGGCTGAGCATGGAGATTATGACCTGGAAGAGTATGACAGCATTAATCTTAGTGACTTCCAGTTTGCCCCGGCCCAGACCAAGGAGCTGGAAGAAAAGGTGGCAGAGCTGCATAAAACTCACAGGTCTGTTGATTTGCTGTGACAGGCACACAGGGTTTGTCACAGTGCTCCATATTTGAGAGCAAGGTTCAAGCTTCTCCTTTCTCCTTCGGGATCTTGTCCAGCACTGACGGAGACAACTGCCAATCTCCAGCTCTTGAGATGTGACCTTCTGTGTTCTTACTGATATTGGGGATTGTGTTCTTGAAGCTAAACTCTCTTATCAGAGTAATGTATATTCCCATATGACACTTCCTTCTCTGTCCCATCCCGTGTTAGGAGACTTGTGGATATGCTGGATTGGCACTTGCTTCCCACTTCTTCTGTTTCTTAGTATCTTTATTACTGTAGTTTATAAGAAAGCCAGGAAGGAGTGGCGGTCAGTGATACCAAAACACACTGTATATATGGCTGAGGTTTTCCAAGAATGAAAGTGTTATTTTTTTAAAAAGCTGGGGAGGTATTGGAGCATCTGGGTTTGAATTAGAAGTATAGATGGTGATGGGTATGGGATAGCTTAAATGTGCAGCTGTTCCTAAAAGCCACAGAAACGTCTCTTATTAAGGTGAGGATTGCTTAAGTAACTTGATTGCCACGTATACCTCAAATACTTTCATATTTCTGTCAAAGTGGAGTTTTACATGAGTTTTTAAAATCCCTTTAAGATACAAAATGTTTTATATTTTCAAGCCATAATTTTATGAAATACTGACTAAAATCATTTGACTAACTTTTAGAGATTTAAAATGCTCGAGAGGCCTTATACATAGACTTTTATTTTAGAAAGTTAAAAAGGTCAGTATTTGGCTTTTATTTCTGTATTTAAATTCTGCTCAACAGACATTTATTCTGTCACTGAGATTTGAATTGCTGGGTATGAAATGCAGTGTTGGAAATGAAGACCGTTGGGTCGGAGGCTTGTTCGCTTATGTTGCTCCTGTTGCTGCCCAGGCTTTTTCCCCAGTGAGAATAATGGAAAGGGAGATTAAATGACCCTAATGGAAGTGCTGGAGGTGGGCTGCGGCTTGTCTCTTACTCGCTGAGTTACTCCCTAGGCCCCCAACTCTCCAGTCATCTGTTTTAAACATGTCTGTGTCTCCCGTTGGGTAACAGTTTCTTTTGATTCTCAGGGGCTTATCTCCAGCACAAGCCGATTCTCAGTTCTTAGAAAATGCAAAGAGGCTTTCCATGTACGGTGTTGATCTGCATCATGCCAAGGTATTGTAAATTCAGTGGGAATAGCGCTGTCTCAGCTCGGTGACTGAAATGCTAGAAATCTCCAGTTTGACAGAGCCTGTTTCATTTTGGAAAAGGCTGCTTGTCTCCACTTGAGAAGGTCTTTAATATCTGTTGGTGACTACTTTTAAAATTCCCGGGTATGGGAATTGTTCTCTCCCTGCTTTTTCCTGCTTTTGTCAGTGTTTTAACTAATGCTTCTTTGAGAGCTCTTGCCACAAAACTGCCTTTGGTAGCCTTTACTTGTGGTTCAGGCCGTGTTCCAGCTTTTGCTTGAGCAGACCAGTGGTTCTCTGCCCCTTTGGATGGGTGTGAGTGTGTCTGTGTGTCTGTGTGTCTGTGTCTGTGTATCTGTGTGTGTGTGTGGTCAAACAACTCTTTTAAGGGGGTCCCAAAGACCAATTGCAATTCATAATAGTAGCAACATTATAGTTACGAAGTAGCAACTAAAATAGTTTCTTGGTCGGGGTCAAGACATGAAGAATAGTATTATAGGATTGCAGCCTTAGGAAGTTTGAACACCACTGAGCTAAAGAGGCAGATTATTTTTCTTTTATGCATTTCTCTCTCCCTCTCTTTTCTCCTTTCTTCTACCCTCTCCTCTTTCCTCTCTTTCCCGCTCTCTCTCCCCTCTCTCCAGTTTTTCAAGACAGGGTTTCTTTGCTGTTCAGGAACTAGCTCTGTAGACAGGCTGGTCTGGAACTCACAGAAATCCACCTGCCTCTGCCTCTTGAGTGTTGGCATTAAAGGCGTGTGTTGCCACCATCTGGTGATCTTAGGCTTCTTTAAATGAGATCTGTTCAGAGTGTCATTTTGTGAGTTTTATTTTGAAGCAGGTCTCAATGTGTAGCACTGGTAGGCTTGAACTTGCTATATAAAACAGGCTGGACAGAGATCTACCTGCCTCTGCTTCTCAAGTGGCTGGGATTAAAGGTGTGTGCCACCATGTCTCACTTTAGTAGTTGTTGTTTTGCAGTTTTATTTACATTTGCAACCCGCCCCTCTTTCAGATCAGTGAATAGTCTCTGGGAACATCATATTTAAACTGCTGGATGATAGAGGACTTTTAAGCTTTAAAAAATACTTCCACACACACTATCTTTTTGAAATTTGCATGTGTTTATTTCATAAATACATGGAGTAGTAAAGAGAAGGACTTGTCTGATGTCATCTATTGCTGGCCAACTTGTCTCTGCCTAATACTCAGTTACTTGGTAGCAAATGTGATCTGTCTGATGCTGGAGTGTTTCTCCCCCCCACCCCCACCCCCCAGTTCCTGTTTTTTGGTTAGTGAAGGAAGAAAATGCTGAGAGAGGTCTAAAACCAAAGAGGCTCTGCCATCTTGGCTTCTTTCATTTCTGTTAATTTTGCTACATAGAATTTTCTGGAGAGGGTGGGAGGAGTAAGGATTGAACCCATGGCCCCGCCATGCTGGGCAAATACTCTACCAGTGAGTTACATCTGCAGCCTTTGCTGGATGCAGCCTTCAATGCATGCAGCTCTTCTGTCTCCAAACTTTGTGAATAAGTAAGTAAATCCAGCTCTTAGGGAACAACTTACTGCAAGGTGTCAGGATTTCTTTTCTCTTAATACACTGGACTGTTAAAAGGTATGCTTGATTGTGAATGTGATGTCAGATTTTGCTGTATAGTTAGGAATAGAACCCTAAAAACACCCAGTGCCACGTTATTCATCCTATTAATCATACTAGAACGAGTTGATAATCAGTGTATTTGTGGCTCATGGGAAAGAAGTCCCATAGCAGTTTTGAAGAACTTACCCTGTAAAATTTATTTTCATAAAATAGTATTCATTGCCTTGAACTCACATTCTTCTACTTTTTGAAACATTAAGATAGTACACTCAAGTTAGGACAAATTCAAAAGTGTTGACAGTCTTGGCAAAGGGGCATGGGATCACTGAGTAGCAGGTACTCTGAGATAGTGTCAGTGGCTCTCCTGCACCCTCTGGTTCTGAAAGGTAGAAGGCAGAGCTGCTGCCACAACCTAGGCAGAGGGCTGGTCTAGAGAGGGTTGTTTTCAGAGGAGCCACTGATGATGGGACCACACAGGGAGGGAGCCTGTGTCCTCAACCCCTGACCTCCTTCCCTCCCTCTCCTTGATCTTGGGCTAGAGCTCTTCAGCATCTCAAACCACTCAGCAGGCCATCCACTCTGGGCAGCTTTCCTGAAGGGCAGATCACAGGCTGATTTTTGTAGTCAGCTATTTTTTTTTGTTATTGCTGATGGCATAGCTCAGATATGGGAGATTTAGAAATGCTTTTTGTCCTTTCACTTTTACCAGTAACTCTCTTCTCACAAACACACTGATCAGTTTAAAACAATTATGTGAGCCAGCCAAACCTCCACCAATTTGCTTGAATACAGGTGGGATTTCTTTTTTTTAAGTAAACTAAAACTAAACTCCTTTGTCCTGTCTAAAGATTGCTTCAGACTGAATGGTGCTGGCCTTGTCAGTGTTTACACTGAATGCCGCCTCCTCAGCCATAGTGAGAACATGCCATTTTCTACATCTTTTCCCTTTTCCTTTGGCCAGGGCTATCGATGCTTTTGACAAACACACACTTTGAATTTGGTGCAAACTGGTTTGGGCACCTGTGCCTAACTCACCCAGCTTCATCTGCTGTTCCTAGAGAGAGCTGAGACTGCCAGGGTATCAGAGAATTGAGTATTGGCTATTTTAAGTTTTTTCATTTTTTTAGTGTTGTGTATTTGATATGCAAGTGGGCGGGCCAGTGCTGTGGTGCACTCTGTGGTACACACTCTATGGTGCATGTGGAGGTCAGACACCACTTTGTGGAGCTGGTTCTCTCTGTCTACCTTTACATTGGTTCTGGGGCTTAAACTCTGGTCATCAGGCATTTGTAGCAAGTGTTTTATTGGCTAAGCCATCTTGGCAGCCCAGTGTTTCAAAAACTACTCAGTGTGGTGTAATTTACTTTTATTTGTGTATTTCTATTTGAAATACTTAGATATCACATTGGATATTGAAATATATATATACATACATACATACATATGCATATGTATGTGTATATATACATATGTGTGTATATGTGTGTGTGTGAAAAAAAACTATAAATTAGATTATTCTTAGTAAGGGTACTATCAAAACATTATCCTGTTACTGAATTGGGACTTAAACTTATGTGTTGTTTGTCTTTGCTTTGTGCATGTGAAAATTTTTCCCATGTTGTTAATAATTTCTTACACTGTGTACAAGTCCGAGTAGTAGTGATGAGTTTGTCTCTCTTGACTGAGATCATCTTCCCCCTGCAGGGTGACTGCTTGTGTGCTTTGACTATTGTGTAGCTCTTATCTTCAGCACCATGAGGGGAGCTTGTTCCTTTCTTTTGTAAACATACTTTAGCTGTCAGCTTTCTGCTTTTTGTCTGTACATTTTTGGGCTTGTGCTTATTCTATATTAACATCTATTCCAAATTAAGTCTCTGGGAAAATAAAACTATTAATAACTTCAGAAACTGTCTTCAGTCCTTTGCCAGCCAAAGGGCTGCTTAATGAGAACTGCGTGTCAGTACCTAAGCTATTGAAAATGCTTGAAAGAATTTAGAGGCTTCAATGTTGACAACTTAGAAGAGAAATTTTCTGTGGATTGGTGTTTTGCAAAATACAGGTATAATTTGAACAGCTGTCAGCTAGCATAGCAGTAGGCCAGCAGGTGGTTCCTGAGGGCTGGGCTTGCTCCCCGGAAACATTCTGTCTTCTGTATCTTCAGCATGCCTAACTGACTCATTTTTCAGTCTTCCCTGTTAACTCTTTGAATCGTTTGCAGATTATTATTGTATCCTTTAAATGTTATTTCTATAGTTCTTTGCAAATTCAACCTGATTCCTGAAGAGGAATCCTTTAATAATGTGTTCCACTCTTGGAATTAACTTAGGTACTGTCCCTAAGATTTTAAATATGAACATGTTGACATTTTCAATTATTTGAGGTCTGCTTTGCCTTAATTTGTTTCACTTTTGTCCTTCTAACTGTTACATGGGTTATGTTTGCCAGGACTCTGAAGGAGTGGACATCAAGCTGGGTGTGTGTGCTAATGGCCTTCTCATTTACAAAGACAGACTGAGAATCAATCGATTTGCTTGGCCGAAGATCCTGAAAATTTCCTATAAGCGCAGTAATTTCTATATTAAAGTTAGACCAGCAGAGGTAAGCAATGTCTTACACTCTTGGCCAAGCTAACACACTGTCAGTGCTTTCCTTTACTAGTAGGAGAGATTAAAGAATTCTTGGCATTAAAATGCTGTAAAAAGAAAGTCTTATTTGTTCTTCTATGGTATTCAAGCCAGGGTTCTTGATGATAACTTACATACAAGCATTCTTATTGCTAATGTATACAACCACAAGATGTTTCACAAAATTAATCTTTTTGTGAACCCCCCCCCACTTCTATCCCCTCACACACAGTGGGAGCTCATTGTTTTCTGTTGACTCAGTTCCACGATGGAATGTGTTTTAGTGGCACTGAGTAGTCAGTTTATGCGGGTAATTAATACTTGCTTTTCATAGAAACAGTATCACAACTGACTATAGATAGACTAAATGTTAGTCTAACAGAAATGCCTAAATCTGCTTACAGTAAGTAGCATGTAGCCAGTGCTTAAGGAACAGGCTGATTTGTTTCATGGATTTATTCCAGCTGGAACAGTTTGAGAGCACCATTGGATTCAAACTGCTAAACCATCGGGCAGCTAAAAGGCTATGGAAAGTCTGTGTGGAGCATCACACTTTCTACAGGTAATTAAACAGTCTCATGGACTTGCCATTGGTACCCTGTCCAGGACAGGTGCAATGGATAGTCTAGCAGGTGTATCCAGTCCCTGCCTCATATTTCTTGCTCCCCTGGAGGCTGTGTTTCATGCTGGTTGCTTCTGTCGTCTGAGGCCATGCTTCTGTCTGCTCTCTGCTTGTCATTGTCTCTTCTCCCACCACCCTCATGCTGACCCCACCCCCCTACCCCCGCCATCCTTTCTGTCATCACTTATAATTCAGACTTTGTTCTTACCAGCTCTCCTGGACTTAACGTCTTGCTCACATAGCTTGAGCCCTGCCGTTGCTCCCTTGGTTGTTTCATGAAGAACATCTAAAGTTCCTCGAGCCCCGCCTTGTTGTCCTACTAGCATACCGACTTCGCAGTGTGCTGTTGCTGGGTCAGTCTGATGTCACCCTGGTGATCACTTCTGCGCCTGTGCTGTCACATGGCAGTGACAGTAGCAGTCCTGTGAGACTGAATCGGTAGCACAGCCAGGCCTTTCACCTGCCTTGTCATCTCAAGTGTTCATGATCTTCTAGAGCCTTCCATACCACCAGGATTGCTCTAGGTGCAGTGCATTCACTGTGGGACCAGGGGAGGGGGGAGTCTCAAGCACTCACGTTTCATTTATCCCCTTTCCCTCCTAGTGTGTTAGTGCTTCATCTCATCACCTCCAGGGAGTGGATAAGCATTGCCTCGCTTTGTTATTTCACCCCCCCCCAAAAAAAAAAAGGATTCTGCTTGGTAAATTTACTTTCTGACAGCTGCCTCTGACTTCTTTGGCTAGTTATACACCCATGCCTTCCTTAAAAATCCAAGCCCCAAACAAAACTCTCCAAGAGCCCCTATGCTTCTTCCAATCTCAGCACTTAGGAAATAGAGGCAGGGTGTCTCTGTGAGTTCAAGACTAGCCTTGTCTACATAGCGAGCTCAAAGCTAGCCAAAGTTTCGTAGTGAGTCAGTGAGACCCTGTCTCAAACAACAGAGCAACAATACCCCCCACTCCCCAGTTTCCATTGTCCCAAGCTGTGGCTTGTGTTCTGTCTCCCTTCTAAAGCTTTTCTTTAGAGGTGTGTGTTTCACAAGTGCTTTGATTACTTTCATCTCCTGTTTTTGTCACTGGTTTATAAAGCCGCACAGGTTGAAGTGTTTTCTCTAGACTTACGACTGAATGCTTTTGCACACACTAGCTATGCAATGAATATGTTATTCGGCCTCTGCCTCACGCTCATCATATCCCAGTGTGCTGCCAGTAAAGGGTTCCTTTGTTTCCTTATGGGTTATTTTCAAAATTAAATGAGATCTTACCTATGAAGCAGACATAAGCTATTTCTGGTGTATAATCATGTTTATCATCGTCATTGACACTACCACTATTTTTCTTTAAATAGAAGACAAACTGTAGCTATTATAAATGGCTGGTTCTTACAGTGAAACAAAATACTCATCTTCTAGACTAATCACTAATTTTAGAGACATGCAATTCAACGTATATTTGAATCTGCCTAACTCAGTTATACTAGCCATGGAAGTCCTTGAAAATTTTATAATGTTTCTTGGTAACCAGAACAGATTTTTCCTGAAGAAGCTTGGGCCTTCTTCATATATGGCTAAATATCTCCTGTCATGTAGGTCTTAACTTATAGCAGGTTTGCTGTCAACAATGGCACCAATAGCAAGGATGCTGTTGGAAATAACAGGTGCTAGGGATTCCTTGGATGTTTTGGTTGCTTCATACTGCAGGAAGTGGCTACTTCAGAGGGCCTCTGAGTGGGTGCCTCTAAAGGCAAGGAGCAGCCAGACACCTGAGCCGAGGTGGGACCCGATGGCTCACTGTCTTCGATGCCTGTGTTCCTTCTCATGTGCCTTTCAGGGGTTTCTGTGATGTGCTAGTCCTACAGAGCTCACCTAAAAGTACACCATCTTGCTCCTGAAGACTTGTGATAATGCTTAACATTAACCATTAACAGTGGTCAGTCTTATGTGACGCTTCCAGAGCTATATAAAACAATGTATTTAGTGTGGAAAGGGAAAATCCTAATGTGTCTGTAGAATAATTTAAGTCAGACCGGTGGATTTTACTGTTGCTTTTTTATTATGAAGTATGCAAGTTATTTCTTTATAAAATTGCCAGGCCTGCAGATTGAAGCTATTACAAATAAACAAATGACCAATCAGATAACGTTAGCAGAACACGAATGTGATAATGAAAGTGCTAGTTGCATTAGAGAGCTTGCACTGTTTTAAGTGCTGTACAAGGCTTATTTTAATCTTTCCAACTTAAGCTATAATTGCTATTGGCTCTTCTTTGTATCTGGTGGAGATGGGGTTTAAGCCCAGGTAATGATGGACCCTAGTTTCCACGAGTGTGCTTACTGTGCTGTGCTACCCACCTGTCTGCAGGAAGCCGCCTTCTGCGTGCCTCTCAGCTTTGTTCTGTAGGGCTGAGAGAAATGCTAGGTCCTTAGGGCTGGACATTGACTTGTCAGCTATATTACAGGGAGCTCTGTGGATACCTATGTGCCACTCATGATTAACTTTAGTCATTTATATGTAGGCTTTTAAAAAACACTCTATTTCTCATAGATAGACATCAGTGGTATTTGATTTTTAATAGGATTTTACAAAATTTAAAACAGTATTTTACTACTTAAACAGTCAAATGTATAAAAGTTGAATCCATTTTTGACAGACCATTAATTAGATCATTTTGCTCAAGGCTTTTATTGTTCTGTGAAAATTCCTTTTGTAGTTTTCATATTATTAAAGCTAACATGATGTCTTGTAGTTCACTATTTTGATAGTTATTTTTATGAAGACACAGTTCTTATTGCAGTCTGCTGTGTAAAATAAAATCAGAGTAAAAAAAAATAATTAAGTGATCAAATTAAAGTATGTTGTGCCTTGGCCTGCATTTTTATCCCTCCCTCCCTCCCTTCATTCCTTTCTTCCTTTCTCCTCCCTCCCTCCCTCCCTCCCTCCCTCCCTCCCTCCCTCCCTTCCTTCATTCTTTTCCTTCCTTTCTTCCCAGGGTTGTAGACCAAGTTGGCTTTGAAATTCATAGAGGTCCGCCTGCCTCTGCCTCCTGAGTGCTAGGATTAAAGTCATGGGCTGACACTGTCCAGCTTTTGCCTGCATTTTTAGAAGATTATTTTATATTCTGATTTCAGGTACCAAAAAATTATCTTAGAAAAAACTTCCAGTGCTTAATCTTTTTTGTTTTGATATTAATTTCTATTTAATTACTTCAAACTTTGTCATAGGAAAACAACCCGTAAGCTAATGCTTTAGGTTACCAATTAGATAAGAAAGGATTTCATCCCATTTGAAATTAAATAAGGAAAACCATTTTTCCCTTTAATTTGTACTATATACTTACTCTTCAAATGTTTTCCTTGTATGTTTTGAATTTACATATTTTTGTGTAGTATCTCATGCAAAAATGCTTCAGTGAACAATTATTCTGATACATACTTAACTGGCTGATAGTCACCTTAACAGAAAATTATGGAGAAGAAATTTGATTGTGTGTATGGAGTTCCTCTCATTGGACATGGATAGTAAATATCTTCTCAGACTGTGTTAATGAGAAAAGTTACCTGTTGAGTTGGGCGGAGGGCCAGAGAAAAACCACATTCATTCAGAAGTGCATTCTACAGGCTGTGTTGTTGTGTGGGTTACTCACCCAGCACTTCAGGAGTCACTCTAGCAATGGGCCAGAGCCACAGGGCTTGCAACAGTTTCTCTTTGTTAAATCTCAACACACAGAGCCCACGAGAAATTTACTCCTCAAGGCTACATCCCTGTGAGACCAGGAAGGAAGACACCAAGTAGATGGGGACAGGGAAGGGCAGGAAGACTGACTGTCACTTGAGTTCATGGTTTGAGGCAAGTCCAGGCAACATAGGGAAACCCTCAAACAAAACAAAGCAGGAAACCCATTAAGACGGGCATTTGAATCTATCTGGACTTTACAGAGTGTAAAAAGGTGACAGTAGGCAGCAAGCAAGCACCCACAGTGCATAAGCCTCGCATAGGTCCTTACGGTGTTACAGAAAGTAAAGTAGTAATTGGAATGCTGGGAAAACACTTCTGAAAGATTTTAACATTGTCTCCTGAAGAATGAAATGTTTCTGAATTGTTTTAAATTTATTTTGTAAAAGAAACAGAAAATGAATTAAAATTTTAAGGTGGTATATCTCTAAAATACACAGTATTTAAGTTTTCCTCATAGCTCCATAAGACAGACATCCTCTAAGTAACTTCAGAATTTTCTTTGGGGATTGCTTTTTCAGTTATCTGCACGTGCTTCTGCATCTCAGTGGTCTTTAAAGTTCTTCTTCCTTCACTGGTGTCTGAGAGTGGACTTCATTAATAGACAAGAAAGGTCAATGTGATTTGCCAGAGAGTATGTTTCCAACAGTGACTGCACAGACAAGCTTGTCAGCCACCTTCCCTCCTATTTCTGTAGGTGACTGCTTTCCTGCAAAGCAGTTTGAGTCTTGCAGCATTGCTAGCTAAAGAAACCTACCATGTTCAGCCCATCAGAAGATAGTCCAAGGTGAATAAGCAGTCATCAGAGTGAATGTTCTCAGAACCATCGTAATATACTGTTGTGTGTGTCTCTCGAATTTATAGGAAGAAAATGGGATGCTTTGTATACACTTGACCACATGAATAGGTTTGGGCCAAGAAGGCATGATGTGTATTAGTTCATTTATTATACAGTGCTGATGGAGTGTTTTTAATGGATGAATACTATTTAGAGACTTTTCAGTTAAAGGAGGATTGCTTTTCATGATTATCACATCTACTGTGCCTTGACTTAGAACTCATTGTTCACTAAACAGAGACTGTAAAAAATTACACGGAAGATCTAGAAATACTTGGAATGACTTTAGAAAAATCTTGTAAAATGACTTTTCCTTAGGAAATGATTGGAATCTCCATATTCTTGAGCTGTCAATGAAAGTCTTAATAATAAATCATAAGCTCTCTGAGACTATATTTTTGTTAAGATTTTTTTCAACTCCTAATTAAACAATGGCAATAATTTCAGTTGTATCAAAAAAGATTGGCTTCCTTATTGAAAGTATGCTCTTACATAAATCTGTAAGTTATTTGTGATCAATTCATGCATTTGTTTGAATTCATGCTTTATGAACCAAAGGTTTACACAGTAGAATTAATGTTGGCAAATAAGAATATTAGTCATCTCTGTGGATTACTGTGTAAGTTCTGTTCTTCAGGGAAGAATTACTTCATTGAACAGATTCTTGAGTTAGATGGGGGGTTTTCCCCCCTACCAGAAAGAGGCATAAATATTAACAATTGCTAATGGTAATGGGCCTTTTACTCGGCACTTAAAGCTAGCAGCACAAATTCAGACATATGTGTTTACATAAATGATTTACACTAACTCAAATAAATACTCTTGATACACACTCAGAACAGCTACTCTTTTGGTTGGGTTAGGAAAAAAAAGAACCATGAACACATCACTGTTATAAAACGACACAGGACCTGGTATAGTGTTGCTCTATAATCCAGCACTTAGGATGATCAGGTAGGTGGGTGAATTGAAGTCCAGCCTGGTTTGCCCAGGGAGTTTGAGGCCAGCTAGGGCTATATAGTCAGACCTTGTCTCAAAAAAAAAAAAACAAAAAAAAAAACTAGATAGATAGGAAGGATAGGAAGGATGTTTTTATTAAAGCATATGTAGCATCATTGTTGCTGCTGCTATTGCTATTATTTTGATACTTTGAGACAGTTTCTTTATGTAAGTTTTGTAGCCTGTCCTGGATCTTGCTCTATAGACCAGGCTATTCTCAAACTCATGAAGACCCACCTGTGTCTGCCTCATGAGTGCTGGGATTAAAGGTGGGCACTACCGTGGTCCAGCTTTTCCACTGGTTTTGACTAATCATATTTAAAATGAGATCTTAAAATACATACTTTTTTATTTACCTGAACCTTTCTCTCCCCTTTCCCCCCTTTGTAGGCTTGTGTCTCCAGAGCAGCCACCAAAGGCCAAGTTCTTAACCTTGGGGTCCAAATTCCGCTACAGTGGACGCACCCAGGCACAGACCCGTCAAGCAAGCACCCTCATAGATAGGCCAGCACCACACTTTGAGCGTGCCTCTAGTAAACGTGTCTCCAGGAGCCTAGATGGAGGTAAACACATTTATAATTTTGGATTCTATTCATCTTTTCTCGTCCATTGGGGTCAGAAAGTGATAACTAGTTAATAAGACTGCCAGACATCCTCTAGAGGGTTAGACAGTTACCCCCAAATCAGGAAAATGTTGTTACTCTCTGAGTAAACTAATTTTGTATTCATGTTTTCACTTTTGCTACATATTTTCCCATAGTGTGTATTTTTATTTATGATTATAAGCTGTTGGATAAACATGTTTCTCTTGATTTTATTTGATTATGCTCTCTAATGTGGCTTAATTTCTTTTTCTTTTCCTCTTTTTTTATTTTTTTGTTTTGTTTGTTTGTTTTAGTTTTGGAGACAGTTTCTCTGTTGCTTTGGATGCTGTCCTGGAACTAGCTCTAGTAGACTAGGCTGGTCTTGAACTCACAGAGATCCACTAGCCTCTGTCACCCCGAGTGCTGGCATTAAAGGCGTGTGCCACCACTGCCCATCGTCTTAGTTTCTTTTACATATTAATTGCTAACAATTCTAAGGGATTTGGGGGGTAAGTTTGTATATGAGTTGTTTTTTGGTTCTTTATTTTTTTTGGTTTTTTGAGACAGGGTTTTTCTGTGTAGCCTTGGCTGTATTGAAACTTAGCTTTATAGACCAGGCTGACCTCAAACTCACAGAGATCCTCCTTCCTCTGCCTCCCGAGTGCTGGGGTTAAAGGCATGCGCCACCACTGTGCAGCTGCATATGAATCTTATTTCAAATAATTGTAAGACAGTTCTCTTGGATTTGAAGGAATGCTTTCAGAAGTTTACCAAACTTCCAGCATACAAGAAACCATGAGAGGCTTCAAAGAGTTGATTTTAAATACAGTCTTAACAACAACAACAAAAGAAATACAACATACTTATTTGTCTGGGAAGAGATTATAAATGTTAGTGTTTTTCTGTTAGAGTTCAGATGAGCTATGTATTTGTAATTTTATGACCATGCTCTCAATGCACAAAACAGGTGCAGTTACACATGGCTGTTTTCCAGGGTTTGTTGGTGGCTGTTGATGTATGTGGTTGTTAACTCTGGAGAGTCTTCCATATAGTTTTAAGTAACCACTGGAAAAATATGTGCTTTAAGCAAACGGATGTCCTGTTTCCTGATGTGACTGTTTAAGTTTAGTGAATTAACAGTGTCAGTTAGCAGCTGAGCACAGATCTGAAAAACATGCCCATTCGAGTAAGTACCTGTCAAGTCTGCTCTTGCCACTGCGTTGGAGAGATGCTGTCGCTGTTATGCTCCAAGAGGAGCCACTGCCTTCTGGGCACTGTCTTCAGCTTTTACTCTAAGATGTGAGGCTGTATAGCTCTCATCTTGTGAGTATTAAAGTTAATGAAGAACGTTCCGCCAGGGCATCTTTGGGAAACCCACCATCTTGATTTGAGTAGTTATTGCAGAGGCTTCTCCAAAATTGTGTCTGAAAACAGTTTTCACGGGGGAAAGGAACAAGCATGGTACCAGCATTTCCCCTTTGTGTTTTGGACACTGTAATTCATCAGATGGGCAAGTCATCAAAAGGTTGACTGTGTTGCTGTGAAAAATAGGAGGCTTTCCATGCCTGTGACTGGATGGCCGGTTAGGGCCTATGTTCTTTTCCCCCAGCAAAGCACTCTGTAGCCCAGTTACAGGGATTACTTTCACCATTTTTACCAGCACGCCTTTAGTATTGCTAACAAAGGTTGTGTTTCCTTATTTTTTAAATTTACTTTTAAAAGTTAGGCTTGAAGAATTTAAATAAGTAATCTTCCCTTTAAAGTTTAGAAGAATGGTTTAGTGATAGCACAAAAGGCACCATTCAATGAACAGCAGTTGTAGACCAGTGAGCCTCCTCTGAAGTTAGGAAATGGAACCAAGGCGGCTGACATGGTCACTGTGGAGAATTAACAAGCACCCGCCGCTGGGAAGTGGGGGTGACAAGTGACCTTCCTGGAAGTGTAAAAAGGAGTAGACAGGGATGCCGTGTTAAGTACAGTCATAGGGAAGGAAAGCCTCCCTTACGAAGACCCTCAGGGACCCAGAAGGATGGAAGGGAGGCAGCCACGAGAAGAGAGAACGTGGACCATCCCCGGCACTGGAAGCCACAGGGCAGGGTCCGCCGTGTGTGGACCATTGAGGGCTTAGTGTTCTGTGAGGGCACAAGAGCATCGTGTTAGCTTTGAAGAGTCATTTGGGAAGATGAAGACAGGAAATGGGCAGACTAGCTCAGAGTGGCTTACATGACAGTGGCTGCGGTGGTCTTTACCTTGGTTTGGGAGTAAGCCAGTTGGTTTCTTCACATTAGACTGAGGATGTGTTTAAAAGTGTGCAGTCAACATTTTGTTAGCTTGTTTTTGTGAATTTTAATTTTATATTGAATCCTATTTCAGCATCAGGATATTTGAACTATCTTTAGGTCACATTTTCTCACTTTGTAGTAATTTGTGCTTTTAATGGGTGCCTAAAATTATATAATAAGTCAAATTATATGTATAATTATATACTTCTATATAAGAAAATTAGTAAAATCTTACCAAAAATTAAAAAAAAACAAAAACAAAAACAAAAACCAGCCCGGGGAAATAAGCAGGTATAATGCAAGAGTGAGCTCATTTTAATGCGAATCTTGAAAAGTAAGTTTTTGTGGATTAGAAAAGTCTCAAAGGGTGAAGTGGTATAGAAATATATAGAGGCTTAAAAACAAACAAACAAACAAATAAAAACATGTTTAGAAACATAGCCATTTGACTTGCTGGTTGTAAGAGGTGATGCTCTATAATTAGAGGTTCCTGGCTGAAGCAAATAGGTACAAGCAGACTATCATTTGGTAACGCAAATAGGCTGGGGAGGAAGCATATTGCAGTGTGCAGGGCAGGGTGTAGATTATTAGGTATGTTTTGAACAAAGATTGAAAGTACCCGTACCTTAACTGATGGGTTACACATTCCTCTCTCCGAAGGCTTCAGGCTCTATGGCTTTTTGTTTACTAGAGTTTATTTTGGTATATGGAATAAAAGCAAAGCACCACAGGGTGTCTGTCTATAAAGCACTTTTAGTAGGAGGAAAAGACCTGGGGGAGTTTCATTGTTCAGGAGCTTCTGTTAGAGATACTTGTCACTAGGCCAGCAGACTCTTGAGTTGATCCAACACTATGACAAAAACCTTTGAATAATAGGAAGGCAATGCACAGGCCAACTTTTGGGAGCATCTAGGGTACTGGACACCAGAGTCTGGTTGAAATATTTGGAAGTGTCAGAAAAATGAAAATATTAGATAGGTAAATTGTTCAATCTCTGGTCTTTTAGTATACAAATGAAGGTTAATTTGCATGGAATTTCTTAAAGCCCAATGAAACAAATTATTTTGATAATTAGTTAATTATTTGTTTGAAAAGATAGATTTAGGAGTGATCAGTCAAGCCAGATAGATTATGGTTACATTGTAACTCTGCTGGAATGTTGAAGTTGGGCCAAGAGCTCCTCCTACTGGTCAATTCCAGGGTGAGCCACAGGCTCAAAAATCCAATTTGCTGGATAGGTAGTTTTTTAAAACCCAGATTGTCTTTAAACAATTTATTTTTAAAACTGTTGATATTTTCAAAGTTCAAACTATCTTCTAGCTACTTACATGTGACCTGTTTGTTTAAGGGGTTATGTTCTTTAAAGTTTGACTGTTCACAGGGCGAGGTATTCACAAGTATTTCAACTTACCTTCTGATTGATTAGCTCCGATTGGTGTTGTGGACCAAAGTCTTATGAAGGACTTTCCTGGCCCTCCTGGAGAGGGTTCAGCACATGGCCCTGCAGCTGCCAGCTATACCGCCATACAAGATGGTGATAGCCGAAGGGATGTCAGAAGCCCAGCACAATCAGCAGCCCTGCTCGCCGAGGGAAAGGTATGGCACATTAGCACTGGTGCTCCTGGGAAAGGGGTACTTAGATGGAGGCTATATTTTGTGTGTCAGACTCAGAAATTTATTACCATTATCTAACCTATGCTGGTTTAATTTCCCAGCTTTCAAGTGTGTGTAGGCTGCTGCCGATTTGAACAGTGACTTTTAATCTTGCTTTGATTATTTTTAGAGTAAAATATTTCAGTGTAAATTATACTAATATAAGAAAGCAGTGCACTGGAGTTCCCTGTTTTCTTAGTTTATTATTAGTTGATTCACCAGTGAAAAGAGCCATTGGTTTGAAATTTGTGTATTTTGTTACTAGTCAATTTTAAATGTCTTGGGGACATTTATTATGTTTTCTTAATCTTTACATGACTTAAGTAATTTTTATGAAAAAATACCCATTAATTCATAGCTGTGGACAGTGAATGCAGGATTGGTTGCTGTCGTGAATGAAGCAACAAATAAAGATATTCTCAAATCTGTCACTGTTAGTTACTAACATCTCTTCAATTGATTGATAAAGTCACTTGACTGAAGAGCTTTTGAGTTCTTCATGTCTCATTTCCAGACCTGCACAAAGCAATTTTTATATGCAACATTGGAAAAAGTGTACATGTGCACATATGTACACACACACACACACACACACACACACACACACACACACACACGGGATCTCCCTGTTGACGTACAGTGTCTGTTTAATTCTGGCTTTGAGAAATGTAAAGATACACAGAATGAGCTTAGAAAGGAATGGTGGCTGAAGTATGTGCCAGAACAGTAGGGGTTCTTGCACTGACACCCTCTAGTGCCAGCACAGAGGTCTCAGACACATAGCCACAGCAGTGATAGGAAATCATTTGCATGCTGTCATTAAACCAATTTGTGATTGCCATGTTTAAATTTTTTGATTAAAAAGTATTTAAAGATACAATTCATGTCCTATATGATGTTCTTCAAGTGCTAAGTTGTCAGAATCTTTTCAATGCGTAGAGTACCCAAGAAAAAGACTACTGAAGAGAAGTAGGCTTAGTATTTCAAAATAGTTCTGTTCTGCTTTTCCTACTTAATTTGACATATGTAATAATGAAACAAATTTTTTGGACAACAAAAGTTCTTGTATTATAAAATTCTAAAGAAAATCTTTCTTGTTTTTAGTAAATGAGTAGTTATAGGAGCTTTTTGCTAGTATTTTTATTATATGTGTCAGCCACTAGATTTGAGTAACATTAGTTAGAAACTCATAGTCATTAATATGTATAAAAGGAATCCAGTTCTCCTTAAAATCGGATGATTTAGTTAACTTTTTAACCTCTGCTTTTATGAAACCTACTTGGGAGTAAAGTTTTCACTAATGTGTCTTCTTTTCTCTTATGTCCTTCTTGTTCCTTTGGACATGACCATTGTGTGACTCATGCTCAACTCTGGTTACTCTTGAAGCAGACTGTGTGCATGTGCCCTCCATCACCTCTCATTTGCTGTACTCCGTCTTTCTCCCCACACCTCCTGCCAGTCCCTGAAGTGGACGTGCTGTCCGACATTTCGGAGGAAGACCCTTTTGGGGAGGCTGATCAGACCACACTAGACAGCTTTGAGCTGCTTCCCACAGGTGGAACATCAGAGCAGGATGGCCCTGAGGTGGCCACATTGGATTCCGTCTTGGATCCTGTTGTAGCCCCTCTTCAACCTGACTGTTCTTCCACCCATGAGAAGACTCTCAGATCGGCTGACCACACGGATTCTCAATGTGTTTACTTTCCCTTTAACTTTTACAAATACTTTGCCTCTGGCTTGCCTTCCCTTCTTGATGAAGATGGGTATCTTGCTCTCCCTAGCCTCCCCAAGCTCTGGGTGTCCTTTCTTCCTCCTGATGTTCAGCATTACATCCCCATTACATCACCTTCATTCATCCCTTCCCTTATCCTCATCTTTGGGTTGCTTCTCTCGGCTTCTCAGTCGGTATCTGTTTCTCTTACCTTTTCACTTCCTCTGGCTCTAGTCCTCTGCTATCTGGAGGGGAAAGCCACCGCTTTTCACGTTTTTTATGACTGTGATTTGAATGATAAGCCAGAGGAAGAGGAAGCAGTGGCCAACACACCTCCATAAAGTACAGCTTTTGAAGCCCACCAACTGTCCCTTGATATGTCCCCTTTCCAATTGAGTCTAAACCTGTGCATTAATTTTACTGACTACCCTCAAAATAGTATGTACACATTTACACACACACACACACACACACACACACACACGGTAAGTGTACATACTTCTCTGCTTTACTATCCTAAGTCTAGGCACACACATTCTAAATTGAGAATAAACTGGTAAGATTATTGTATAACTATCTTAGCTCATATGAGATTGTTAAGGAGTGTGTGAGCTGGAAATCTGTGCTGGCCTTAAGCATGTATCTTGGCTCTGTTCTGAAGATAAATGTTAGTGCTATTCCTTAAGCATGGAACTTTATGTTTTGAAACAAACCATAGAATGGTTTGGACATAAGTGTAATTGACTTGTATCAGTAGAACTTAGTGTTACTAATCTTGAACAAAACCCAGGCTTGTACTTGGACTTAGGAGCCCGAGTCTGTAAATGTCCTGTTGTTTCTAAGCCTAATCTCAGAAACTCCATGATGTACTTTCAGAATTTGGGGACAAGAGAGATGAACAGCGTTATCATCTTTCTTCTATCCTGAATCATGCAATTATATAAGTCATTATCAGGCATTTTATAAGAAAGATGATACTCTATTATTTAACGAAAAATGTATGAAAAGTGAAACATTTGACTTTGAGAAATTAGACTGTATATGAAAGGTTGGGCTTCTTGCTTTTTTTTTTATTTAAAATGAGGTGTCTGAGACCTTTTCCATCTGTGTAAGACAGCTGTTTGAAGTGTTCTACCTCTGCACCACAAGGAAGTCAGTCTTAACATGTGTAGTCTATTTTTAATTATTTTACTCAAGGTGTTTGGCAATTAAGTGTCTTGTATTTTAGGGATTCTATCAACACAGATGAATAACAGAGCAAACACAAAAATATGAATGGATCAAGTATACACTGTAGGAGAAACTGTAACTCTTTACATTTGCTTGAGAAATACCAAAGATCAAGCTTTTAGTGAATTAAGTATTGAACATGGCATTGGAGGCTGATCATTCACAGAGCTCTGCCACATTTTTCACCTGTGAGGCAAAGGTGTGGGTGTGGGGACTCACAGTCTACCCTGATTGGCTACAAACAAGGCCCTTTGAACTCTTCTTGGCACTGTTGTGCCAGCATAGGAGAGGGGCCCGTGGGTGCGTTACCCTGGGAAGGGGATTTTCCTTTCATGCCTGTATTTTTGTTTTTACCGTTAGTGTCCTGTTACTAACATTTACTCAGTATTTCTTAGTCTTAAGCCTTTGAATTAATTCTTTGGGGTCATTAAATACTGGGAAATGTCCAACTTCAGAATACTATTGTATAAAAATTTTATGGAAAAAAATGGCTGTATTTTAAACATTATTTAGAAATACCCACTTTAATATGATAAAAGCTAATGAGCTAATTTTACCCCAAGCAAACCTATATTGAAAAACTGATGGGACAGTGTATAATGATGGAAGATTTGTAACCGACTTAAAAGCTGAAGACAAATTTGCTATCTCTGTACATTGTCCCATTGCTACTTGGCCTTTGCCATCTTTGCACTCTCATATTCATATTCCTGCTTTTGAGAGAGAGAGAGAGAGAGGAGAGAGAGAGAGAGGAGAGAGAAAATTCCTAAAAGTAGAGCACAGTCTAGGGGCTGAGAGAGAGTGAAGCTTCCATTCTCCATTCCACCCTTGCAAAGATCATGTCCATCATTTGTGCGACACTGTAGGTGAAGAAAGAGCACAGTGACTTAGTAGCATCTCCTGATGCTGGAGTAGAGGTTGGTACTGCTGCTGCACCCTTAAGCTTGGATACAGCATCTTTCTCTGCCTTGCTGGTTGAGCCCCACCAAGGAGCCCCTTCTTTCTGCCTGTGTGCTGTGTGACTTTGCAGGGGAAGATGGAAGACGTGGAAACGGACTTGGAGGAGGTGTCTGTTTTTCCTTATGTTAATAATAAGTGCCTGTTGCCTGCCATTCTTGTTGTTGTGGGACTGGGGTGGGGGTTGGAGAGGTTGGTGGAATGCACTGTCAGGGTTTATCTGAGTTTTGCTTATTATGGCTTTTAAGATTTTTATTCTCTTTTATTTTAAAGTCTTAGATTACAGACCTCTGGGTTGTTTATGGTACTTACTGACACACTTATGTTTATTTGCCTTTTCCCCCTGTGTGTGATTTAATTTCACAGAAAAATACCTTGAGAGTAGAAGGGGATAATATTTATGTCAGACATAGCAATTTAATGTTGGAGGTTTGTATGATATAAGAACCATTGCACTCTGTCCTCTGGCTGCTGTGCTGCTGTGGACGGGAGGTCACGCACAGGCTGGCTGGCCCTTCTCTTCAAGCACAGTGCATGCAATGCATGGGGCTATTGAACTTGGGTGTGCATGCTACAAGTCCAGCTTGGTTCTTAGGTGCTGGAGGTAGGGCTATGTCTGCTGCAAGTTCTCAAAGTGACTGCTGGAGAGAAATGCTCTCTTTATGTAAATCAGGTTTATTCATTACTAAGTAAGCCTGTTTCCCTAATAGGCCACCTTAAAGCTATAGAATCTGAAGTAACATGATCCCGTTTTTAAATATACATTAAACAGAAGAAGTAAAATTTTTATTTGATATTTACTTATTCAGTTTACTCAATCTATGGCTTGCCCCCCCGCCCAGTACAATCCATGTAATAAGGTATGTGACCCATGTAAATACTTGAGAATATGCTAATTGATAAATTTTTTCTGACTAGAAGGAAAGAACACAAGACAGAGAGGGTAGAAGGGAAGGGGGGGGAAGAGGTAGGTAGGTGGGTAGATTAAATAGTCAGATGAATTAGACAGACAGACAGACAGATGAAACTTTGGGAGTTGTAAAGTGTGTTCCCATATAAAAAGGAGGACAGTTCCCCCTTCTCATGCTAAGGCCCTGTGTGCAATGTGTTTACTGGAACCCTGCAGCTCTGGGGAGTCTGACTAATCTGTTACGTTGCTTTTGGCAGCTTTGATAACTGCTAAAGTGTATTTTTGCTTAACTTACTAAGATGCTGTGAAGTGTAATAAGTAACATTGCTGTGAAAAAACACAAGAAATGTGCCTGATCTCAAGCCAGTCATTTCCCCATGCCCTGCAAAGATGCAGGTTACCATTAAGGGTTTGCAACTGGCTATAGTAGCTCATGGTGAACTACTATGCTTGTGCATGATTGTGGACTAGCTAAATTGATGAGCTGCATGACCTGCCTTTGGGAGTGGTACTAAAATCTATAGGCAGCCTGTGATTTTTGAAATGTAAGAAAACATCTAAAAAAAAATCTGTTAATTCCTATTCCTGAACATTGATTACACATGTACTTTTTACCAGAGCCAGGTTTTTGTTTGCTTGTTTGTTTGTTTCTTAAATATCCTGGATACCATTCGTCAGGGTCTAGGCCAGTGAAAATAGAATAGTAGGTTTTTCATTTTTGTAAAGGGACCACATGTTACACCAGGTGGCTGGGTTTCTGCTTTGCTCTTGGCGTTGCACGAGACCAGTATGTGGTTCATGTAGAGAGAGAGAGAGAGAGACCAAGCATACAAAGACTCTGGGAGCAGTTACTATTATTCCTTAAGAATTTGAAGCTACCACTGGGGTTTTCTGACAAAGACACTCCCTGGTTTTTCTACTTCTGTTGATGGTCCTCGATAGGCCAAGTGTGTACCTCTACGTTTACCCTTCTTTGTTTTGCTATGTTCATAGAATATACATAATAGCCTTTATCACAAAGATAAATTTGCAGGAACAAAGTCATAGGCTGCTATTTAAATCCAAGTATATAAAAAGGGATTGTTTGTTATTATGGTCAGTTCCATGCCTCCCTTCTAATATGGATAACTTCAAATCCCAAACAGAGAAGAAATTAAAATCATTCAAATATGAGTAAAATAATTAACTGGCTTCATTTTCAAATTTTTATGAACTCAGGGCTATCCACGGGTGAGAATATGGCTTTTGAGACTTGGCATTTTTTCTTGCTTTATTATGTTTTTGAATAATAAGTTTACTTTATCTTATTTTTTGGTTCTATTATTGCCTTGCTGGTTTTTTTTTTTTTTTTCCTTCCCCATTTTGGATTCCCTTTGTCATGTTACATGTTGCTAGGACCTGGATAAGGCCCAGGAGGACATACTGAAACATCAGGCTAGCATTAGTGAGCTCAAGCGCAATTTTATGGAGTCTACACCTGAGCCGCGCCCCAGTGAATGGGAAAAACGACGTATCACACCTCTGTCTCTACAGACACAAGGGGTATGTCACCAGCTGTTTATTGGTTTTGTGTCTCACTGCAGTTGTTCATCTTGTTTGCTGATTCTCAGAAGTTAAGAAAATGTTCCCACAAGTTCTTTTATATTGCTAACAATTTTTTTTTGAAATACTAACTATTAACGATGTAATATTCATTGGCCTAATTCTTAGGTACATTTTATGAATTTTAGAGTATTTCTGAAATATTTTTAGAGTAACTTTATTGTTGTATTTGAGTAAATTAGTAGTATTGAATTGTTACTTAGGACAGTTTGGGAACTAATGTAATACTGTGTCTAATAAGTTGCTTAGTTATTGACTTCTCAGATAAGGACATTTAGTTGATAAAGGACAGTAGAGCATATGTAGAATGGTTTCAGGTCATTGCTTCACCCTTAAAGATTGATGGGCTCTGTTGAAAAGTTGCAAAACATATGTTATGAATATTACATATCAATGCACGTATGAAACTTCCTGGCAACAGTAAATAGTCATGTTTCAAGAACTTCATAAACGTGAGTGGGGCTCAGATCTGCTCTTTCTTATCATGTCTGCGCCTTACCTTCACCGAGTCCCTCCTTTAGAATACATTCTCAGAGTGTCTCTGCATCCGTTCCATCCTCTTGAGCCTCTGTGAGGGTGCTCCCAGATCTCTCCTGTGAGGGACATGGCACGCCCCTCCTGAGGAGACTGATACAGTTTACTCAGCACTTTTGAAAGCTGTACAAAGATGTTGCGTTAAAACTTCATTATTTCCCTTTCATGATGTAGTGAATGTGCCCTGTTGTAGACACTTGGTTTAGCACTCTGGTGTGGCTTACTCACCCCTCCTCAGAGCAAAGCCCCTGGTAGTATTAAGTTTCCAAGTTTGTGACACTGACCAGAAGGCAGTGCTTCAAGAACCAGCAAGGAAAAGTAATTGCTGGCCTGAAAAATGCAACCTGTCAGATGGAGAGATGAGACACTCCACATGCTGGGTGTTGTGAAGGAGGAGAGCAGCATTTGCAGATCTTCTGAAAAAACAAAACAACCAAAAACCAGGGGTTTAGCAGCCTTGGCCTAGAATGTCCAGAGAATCGGTGGCTGTTGACCTAGGAAGGGGCAGCTTTCCTTCTCTGTACTATTCCATCTGCTTTGCCTCCCTGACCCACACTGTCCTTTTGCATTTGTGTTGCTATAGGTGTGATGTGTGTGTGTCTTTTTGTTGATTATGTCATTGTTTAAAACAATAGAGAAAAGGAGACCATCTTTTCAAGGATGTTCTGTCCATGAAGGAGAAGTACCTGATGGCGGCTACCCGGACAGTTGAAGAGGAAGCTCAGGCGGACAAGGTGTTCACCTTGCATCATTGGATCTGCTTCTGCTGCTCTCCCCCATGCATTTCTGCTCTCAGCCAGAGATACTTTTTTTTTCTTTTTCCATGCCAACCTAATTTTCAAATAGTTTTTGAATGTTTAAAAAAGTTAAACTCCTATGTATTAGGGGCATAGGAGTATTGAGGAGAAAAAAAAATCTGTTTTAGTCAACACCTTACATGCAGATTGAGAATAAGAAAGTACAGGAACATCATCTGTGTTAGGTGACACATAACCCATCATTTGATGTATGTGGCTTATGGTTTGGAAACTAGTCTCATGAAAATGCACTGTACATCCCTTAGGCACATGGTGCTGCTGCTAAGATACATTATGTGTGCTTTGGTTCATAACTTCCCATCACACATGGGAAGCTTTTGAATTTTCATTTTTAAGATTTGTACTCTAACAAAAGAGATGCGGATGTGCCATAGCAGCTTCTTTCTCCTTGCTCCTTGAGTGTGTGAAATGCCTGGCACGGGTGAGGGAACAAGCTACTTCTTTTCCACTCTACTTTGCTGCTGCGGATGCTTAGCCGGCTAGTTAGCAGGCATGATCCTTAGTGATCAGAGAGTTCAACATACTTAAGGACCTTAAAGAGGTGGAGCATAGCATTGTGTTAGTAGGGTCAGGAGGCGATGGCATTTAAAGTCAATTCTTATAATAAAGTAGATCAAAGCCAGGCAGTGGTGGCACAGGCCTTTTAATCCCAGCACTCGGGAGGCAGAGGCAGGCAGATCTCGTGAGTTTGAGGCCAGCCTGGTCTACAGAGTGAGTTCCAGGGCAGCCAAGGCTACTCAGAGAAACACTGTCTCAAGGAAAGTAGATCAGAAGATGTATCCTTACTAATAGAAGAGCTCATGGCAGCTGCTAAACTAGGAACTGAAATGGCCAAATGACAGGAGCTTAATAGACAGGGAAGAAGTCATCAGAGTGCCCAGGGCCCAAGTCAGTGCCATCATTTGATAGGGGCTTTTGGGATACTAACTAGAATTTTGGTGAAGATGTTTAAGATTGTTGTTTTTCTGGATCTCATGTTTTACGAATGTCCAGCCTCAGTAGCTTAGAGGTTAGAGTGAAGTTATGTGACATTTAACCAGGGAAAGCTCCTAGCTTATAAGCATTTGAAGTGACTGTGTTTCTGATGTGTGGAAACACACTATATATATCAGTCGTTCTCTAGCTATTGTTGTCCAGTTGTCCTCACCCATGAAGCATTTCTTGGCCATCTGTCAGCATGCTTTTCTCTTGACATGACACACCGCTGTAGGAAGCGTGCTTGCAGCCTGCTCAGCTTTGACCCCAGTTGAATACCGTTTCAGTTTGCATCTTTCGGATGTCTTCCTTTTGATTTTCTAGGGTGTCTCATTTGTCTTTGGATAATGATCATTCATTATTGAAAAGTGGGAAAAAAGTGCAAATATTTGCCTAAAATTTCCAAATTCCTATAGTACGAGTCTTTTTTTTTTTTCTTTTTGAGTTATTTTTTATTTAAACTGGAAACAATCTTATTTTACATGTCAATCCCAGTTCTCTCTCCCTCCCATCCTCCCATGTCCTCCCTCCCCCATCCACTCCCCAGGGAGGGGGAGGCCTTCCTGGGGGTCTTCAGAGTCTGCCACATCATTTGGGGGCGGGCCCAGCTCTCCTTGTGTCTAGGCTGAGAGAGCATCCCTCCATGGGGAATGGGCTTCCAAAGTCCTTCTGTGCACTGGGAATAAATACTGGTCCCACTGCCAGAGCCCACAGACTGCCCAGGCCTCCTGTCACCCACATAGTATGAGCCTTATAAATGTTTTTAAAAAGACTTGTTAACTTTTATTTTATGTGTATTTTGCCTTCATATATGTGTGTATACCTCGTGTGCTAAGTGCCCACAGAGGTCAGAAGAGGGAGGGCATCAAATTCCCTACGACTGGAGTTATAGTTGCTTTTGAACCACTGTGTGGGTGCTGGGAATTGCAAAAACAAGTGTTAGCCATCTCACTTCTCTCTAACCCCTAGGTGTTTTTTCCACACCCCCCTCCTTGGGGGGTGTGTGTGTGTGTGCGCGCACGCGCGCATGTGTGACTGTGAGTGTGTGAGTGTGAGAGAGAGAGACAGAGAGAGAAGTGCCTTGTTTAAATAGATTGACTGTTCAAAATGGCTTTGGTTTGACCATGAATAATTTTGGGGATAGATCAGAAAATTAGAAGCCAAAGGATTTTTAGTTTTTAATGGTAAAATAACTATTGTGTATCCTCTTGTACATCGTGAGAGTTAGGATAACTTACATTATATTGTGAATCTTTGAGAGATTGTCTACTCAGTAGTCTTAAGGTCTTCAGGGGTGGTGGTATTGAGGGTTGATTCCAGGGTATTGAACATGCAGGATAAACCCTGTATCAATGACATACCCAGTCAGTAAGATACTTTTGAAAATATTTGATTAATTCAGTGCGTAACACTTAAATTCCACAATCCATACTCCCTTTTTTTGTTTTGTTGTTGAGACAGGCTTTCTCTGTGTAACAGCTCTGGCTGTCCTGGAACTTGCTCTATAAACCAGGCTGGCCTCAAATTCACAGAGATTACTTGCCTCTGCCCCTAAGTGCTGGGATTAAAGATGTGTGCCACCACCGTGGAAATTTCAGTTTTTATAGCTGAAGGTCAGAAACTTCTTTCTCTGCTGTAACTTTTAAGAACTTACCCACCCTCCCACACCATCCTCCTAAGGTCATTGAAGAGCCCTTTAAGGCCTCTGGAGAATGTGGTTTATTAAGAAGTCTCACAAAGTTCCACACAGCAGGGGTGGGAGGGGGTGACTTTTCTTGTTCATCCTTTGTGGCGTTCCAAGTTCTGAGGATAGTCACAGCTTGTCCATTGTCCTCACAGGCTGACTAGGAAGTTGTGTAAGGGATAGAAATGTGAAACTTAAGTTATTTGCCTTACTAGATTTTCAGACAGATGAGCTCACTGAGTACTGAATTTTCAATTCTAGAATTATCTTAATTTTTTTTTAACTGTTTGTTTTGGCCTCCCCCCAACGGTGGAGGACCCTCCCAATTCTGTTCAGAATTCTTGTTTCAGTTGTGTGCAGTAGAGATCATAGGCGGTAGTGTGGTTACAGAAGGCATTGCACAAAATATGCTCTATTAAGTGGGCAGAATCAGAAACCCAGAGTTGCTCCAGCACAGGGAAGGAGTGTTTCCCTGAAAATTCTCTGCCAGAAAAGGAGAGGGCAACCTGAGAAGTCAGAGTGGGGGATGGGGGGAGAGTTGGGGTACCCTGTGTCCCAGCATGGCAGTAGGAATGGTGTTGGAGCTGGCACATTTTCTAGAGGTTCTCAGGCAAGGTGCAAAAGCTGGCATGCGGGAAACCACAACGCCTGCCCCCATCTCCAAAATTCTTACCTTTCCTTTCATTGTGTGCTGTTCTGTTTTTCTTTCCCGTTTAACTGTTCCCTTCTCTTTGTAGGTCACTGCCCCATCTATCCTGCTGTGTTGCTAACTCTTTGCTCTTCCTTTTCTGACCTCTAGAGCCTAGAAGAAGAGATAACATCAATTTTGTTTAGTGGAAAGGGCTTTTCTCATAGTCTGAAAGCCTCCTTCCCTTCATCCACCACTTGGACAGCAGAGGGCGCTGTTGTGAACTCTAATGCGCCTAGAGAAAAGCTTTCTTCTTCGCCCTTCTCACACTTGCCTGAGGTGCATTTTACTTTGTTTCCCCTGATACTAAAAGCCACATACAAGAAATATTTTTCTTTCTTATTTTTTTTTCTATCTTGAGTATTTGGGTCACTTCCCCTTCACTTTACTAGTGAAATCACTGCCATTCAAGAAATAGTGAATTTGAACATGAAGTAGATCAGATAATTTCTCCTATTTATTCTTGTTTAAAAAAAAAAAGACAAACAAACAAACAAAAAAATCCCCTGTCTAAATTTAGGAAATTGTTTAAACCACTGAGGCTCAGAGCTGGAGTTACCAAGCAGCAGAAGGAAAGTGTCGACCAAGCGGATGCTAGCTAAGTGCTTGCAGACCTCCAGTTTCCAAATCCCACATTTGAGGCGGTCTATTTGAAACAGCACTCACATGCCCGCCAGAGTTCCTGAGCTAATTGTGTTGGGATGACACTCTGGAATCCCCTGAACTTGAGCCAAACCTGTCTAGCCATTTGAGGCTACGTAATAATGGTTATATCACTGGCCTGTAATAAGCCTGAAACATCTGCTGTAGAAATGCTCTGAACACTAGGTATCTTCATCTAGGAAGTGGTTTGTAGTTAAATGTTAATTGCTTATAAAAACAGACCGATGGCTTTCATTAATATCTGAAACTTGTGGGTGTTCAGCAGAACTGGAAAGGTGACTCTTATTTTGCTAATCACATGCTTACATGGTGTGAATTTTGAGCACCTCAAACATCAAATGACGATGCATTTCAGAGTGACAGGTTAGGGTGCCTGTGGCATGTGTTTGTAGGTGCCACAGAGACTTGTAGCATTTAGCTCTGGGTGTCCCTGCTGCTGGGACTCAGGAAAGCCTCTGTGTACAGTTAGTATCCAGCAGGTTCAGAGGACAGTGCCCTTCTACATCAGTGGGGATGCTACACACCGTGAGTAAATAGTGCTACTGCTCACACCTGAATTATTTTTCAGTTAGATCACTAATAGGAGTGTCATGAGGTTGTAAGCCTGTTGCTCTACTTTATTTGTACAAGTGTAAGGTAGTGTGACACTTTAAAAACTTTAAATGGAGCCTCCGCCCTAGTTAATACTGGACCATAGTAATGTATGTCACTCCGTATTCAGTATACAGGTGTTAGATAGAATGGTAAGCTGCTGTTTCAAGCAAATAGAAATAATGTGCTCCCAAGAAATAGGCATCCACAGGGGTTTGCAATGATTGTCTTCAGTAGTAAACTTGGCCATTTCAGTGGTGATATCGAATAGCTAAATCCTAAGAGGAAACGTGGGACAAATGTTGACACCCACACAGATGTCTGTATTACAAATTGAGGAGTTAGTAACTGTCTGGAACGAACGTTTATGTTAATAGCCATTCAAAACAAAACATGATTTTGCCCAGTCAAGCCCACACCCTCCTCCCAGAGGGTTTCTCTGTGTAACAGCCCTGGCTGTCCTGCAGCACGCCGCTGTAGACCAGGGTGGTCAGACTCACACATACATCAGCCTCCCCTGTGCTGGGATTAAAGATGTGTGCTACCACTGCCCAGCTCCAGGCTATTTTTTAAAAAAGCATTATCATCACCTCTACCCCCCAAAAGAAAGAAATCGTTGATGCTGTACTTACTTAGGTATAATTACATATTTTTTAAAACATTTTCAACTTCATAAATCGGGCTTATTATACCTACAGTAATTTTTATTTTTGTTTTCAAGAATATTGGCTGTTTTTGTCTTTTGTTTCTTTTTGTAAGCCTTGTGGCATTTGACAGTTGTCTCTGTGACCTGAGCATGGGTGTCAGTGGGGTTGGTTCTTGCTGTTCTGTGTTTGCATTGTCACATGTCTGTCTCGGTGGTTGCTGAGGTAAACCATATTGATTTTGTGTCCTCGGTTGCTCTTTGTTTCACAGACTCGCACGCCTGTATCGGAAGGGCCTTGCACTGGAGCCAGGGACGCTGTTAAGGTTCCCTTTCCATGTTAATGCCATGCCTAACGCCTCCATCATCTCACGTTTCCCTGCCTCCCTTTCAATCAGCCATCATAATCATCTTTGTTTCTCCTCATGACATGAATCTGCCATCAGTTAATTTGCATTCCCGCAGTTTTTATTTATTCATCTATTTTTGTTTCCCCTCATCCATCTTTCTTTTTTGCACAGAGTTCACATGAGACTCTGAATGTAGTGGACGAGAAGAGGCGGGCAGAGGTTGGGAAAGACGAAAGAGTGATCACTGAAGAAATGAATGGTAAAGAGAAACCAGCTGGGAGTGTCCCTGGGGAGACTCGTAAGGCAGAGCCCGGGACACAGAAAGACTCGGCCTCCCTGTCTTCTGAGAGCGGCGGCAGCGGCAGCAGCAGCGAGAGTGAGGAGGAAGATGTGGGAGAGTACCAGCCCCACCAACGAGTGACCCCGGGCACCATAAGGGAAGAGCAGGAGGAGGAGGAAGAGATGGAGGAAGAGCCCGGCCAAGCCGCCAAGGTAGTAGAGAGGGAGGCAGCGGTGCCTGAAGGCACCGCAGGCAGACAAGCAGAGGCCAGTGTCCTCACAGTAGCAGCAGAGGCCCAGGCAAATGTAGTTGCCCAAAAGATACCCGGAGAGACCAGTGCACCCGGAGGCACTGTTAAGCAAGACACGAGAGAAGAGGCAGAGGAAGAGCAGCACAGAGTTAACGGAGAGGTGCCCCATGCTGACATTGATGTTTTACCAGAGATTATTTGTTGTTCAGAGGTAAATGAGAGTGTCAAGCATGAGCTAAACTGTAGCGCTGTTTCTCAGGTGGAAACGCCTGCATTCCTTCGCCTTTCCCCTGGTTCTCCTTTAGCTTTTTCAGCAAGAATCTGACTTTCCTGTCTGGGAAGAAGTGGGAAGCACTGCTTTGTAAATCTGCAGCTCAGGGCATAGTCTGCAGCTTCTTTGCTGCAGCTGGATTACCCGTAGGGTAAACTGCCAGGACCATGTTCCTTTCCCTTCCCCTTTCCCGTTTCAGTTTCTCTTTGCATGATTTGGGAGCTTTTCTGTCTTTCTTTGCACTACTTCCTCATTACATGCCTTTTTTCATTGGCTTATGTAGTAAAGTGTGTGTGCTGTTGAAAGATGGTGGGTTTAAGTGTGCATGCTCCCGATGTAATGATTGGATTTGACGTTGTGGATCATTCTCTTACTTTTCCTTCAAGCTCACAGCAGGTGCTGTGAAGGCGGCTTCGGCAGTGGTAGGGACATTATTTCTTGAATGTCACTGTGGTTCCTGTCCTTAGAGTCCAGGCAGAGTGTGATTTGGTTAAGAGCCTTTTCCTTCTTGACATCCAAGGGCTAAACTAAACATTCAGTAGACATGCACTCTTCATGGTCTTACATCAGTCCTGGATTATTTGCAAATCGATTATTTTGTAGCCTGCCTATATTAGATATGTCTTGTCTTTTATTTTCAAGAAAGAGAATCTTGCATATTCCTCTCAGATTTAGTTTTGATCAGTAGGGGCAATGTCTTTCATGGGATAATTTACTTACACGGGAATGGCTCTTGATTCCAGAACACCTACAGTGTTGGGATTTATCAGCATTTACTCTCTGATGGAGTAGACAGTCTTTAAGTGGCTTTGTTTTGGAGTAAATAGGTTACTTTAAATTTCATATTTCACTTCAGACATCTCAAGAGTCTTTTGAGCACTTTTCCATTAAAATAATTATACCTGGTGGGAGCTTTCTGTCAAAGGAAGTGTTATAATATTTGGTAGTGCTGTAGTCTGGTATATGTACGCATGTATGCTCAGCAGTGTTAACAGACATTGGAGCTCTCAGCATGTTTAAAATCTTTCAGAGCACTTACTGCAACACTGATGGATTAATTTTAGACAGAACATTTTATTGTACTTAATGCAAAAGAAAGTGAACTTTTAGATGAGTGTAATTGAAAATAATCATACTTGAAAACATCCAAATAGCCTTTCTGATATTGTTATATTGGGGGTGGTGGTAAGGAGTAAATCTTGGCCCATGTAGCTTACAATTAAAAATAATAAGCCTTTGCATTGTGGTTCTTTGAGCTTTAGTGAAAATAGAGATAGTTACCTTTAGTGCATTCTATTAGGTTTCGATTTTAACAGCTTCTTTTTTTCCTAAAGTGTACATGTGTCAGTATATGGCTTAGGACCATCTCAGTTTGAAAAGTAATACAATTTAGGGAGTTATTATTTCGCTTATCTCTCTCTCTCTCTCTCTCTCTCTCTCTCTCTCTCTCTGTGTGTGTGTGTGTGTGTGTGTGTGTGTGTGTGTGTGTGTCTGTGTCTGTGTCCACACACGCTTATGTACTCATATTGTTTGAGATATACTTAAAGGTTTGTCTTTTACATTTTTTTATTTTAGGTTATTTACTTTTTCTCTTCCTTTCCGTGCATGGCTGTGTGTTTGGATATTTTTAACAATTTCTTTTATAGGTTCCTTTAAACACGTCTACTTTATGACCATTAGAATTTACCTTTCCCTTCCTTTTCCACCTCAGCCACCAGTGATAAAAACAGAGATGGTAACAATTTCTGATGCTTCACAAAGGACAGAGATCTCCACCAAGGAAGTCCCCATTGTTCAGACTGAGACCAAAACCATCACATATGAGTCCCCACAGGTACAGAAGCTCAGCACTTGGACTGTTTGGGTTCCCTTTTCTTTTACGGTGTCTTTCCCCCATTTCTAACTTTGACATAGCTTTTCACACTTTGTGCCTGCTCTGTTGCTGTCTTAGATTTAGACAGAGAGCTACAGACCTCCAAAGTACTGGAGATAGAGCCCTTCTAGTAGTGTGTGACCCTGAGTTCAGTCCCTGGTACCTAGGGAAAGAAACTCCACAATTAGAGATGAGGAGTAAGTCCATATTGCGGCCATAGTACTTTTGTAGGAGAGCTGTCCATATGATTAGTTAAGACAAGCAGCAGAAGTCCTACCCTATAACTGTTGGGCCTTTCTGGCTTGTTGTATCTAAACTGTGTGTGTTTTTGGGAAGCAGATGACCTTGCAGTGTTCACCAGCTTCCCCCTGCTCTGACTTCACAAAAGCAGGCCAAAGAAACTCATACTTTATTCCAATATTAGAGGCACCCATATAACTTTATCCCCTTTATGCTGGGTCATCTTTCTTAGGCATATGTAGTCATTTCCATGCAATTGATGTCAAAATGACTATAAGAACTGTGTGCATGATTTTAGGTCAGCAGACACTGGTTCTGCAAAGATTTTAAATAAGAAGGCTGGAGAGATTGCTTGACTTATGGTACGGTGCTTGCCACACAATCAGGACGACCTGAGTTCAGATCCCTGTTCAAAGCTGGGAGTGGTTCTTGCCTGCAACCCCTGTACCAGGGAGAAGGAGGTGCCTTGATCTTGCTTGCCAACCAGTGCTGCTAAATTTGATTGAGCTGGTCATCTTCAGCTTCAGTGAGAGAATCTGTCTCAGAAACAAGGTGGCCAGCAATTGAGAAAGACACCTGGCATTGTCCTCTAGGCTCCACAAACTCATGTGTATGCACATACACACATAAACATACCAAACGGGTTCATCATTTCAAAATGGACATGTTCAAAAATGTATGGTGATAGTTTACCTTTCTCTGGCAGGATTGCACTGAGGTGAAGGATGTCAGATCTCAAAATATTTTTTTAAGAGACTGAATGTGTACATGTATGGAACATATCTCAAAAGAGTTTCAAACATGTTATCCATGTGTATGCGTAGATCCCACATTAGAGCAAACAGGTGTCTTATCATGGGCAGGTTTGTGAGAATATTGCTCTATCTGCTTTGTGGTTAGTACCCTTAGAAAGCTCAGGTGCCTGTGGCAAGTTTGGGAGGGATTCCCTTGTGGTAGTGTCAGGAAATAAGCAGATATGTTTGCGATCATAACATAAGCAACTTAGGTATTAATTTACTTCATTATTTTTCCTGGAAAACTCTAGAATCTTCTGTCTATTCCAGTGTTAAAGCAAATAAATTAGCTTTTTTAAAAATATACACAATGGGATGTGTGTGTGTGTGTGTGTGTGTGTGTGTAGATATATAAATGCATATATATATACATATGTATATACACATGTATACATACATGGAGTGTGTCCACATACATGAGTATATGCACTCATATCTATGTATGTACTTATGAGTTACCAACCATTATAAGAACTAATTTTTTTATAAGTTTTACAAAATATATTAGAGATAAGCAAATACCCAATTCATTCAAGTTCAGTTTGTCCTTATCAGGTTCTGTTATCAGTAAGCTGAGAAAATGTTTACCTATTTTTACCCACCTGTGCTTAAAAAACAATAGCAAAGTCAGTACTTCTGGTCACTGTGGAAACTTCTTCACCTGGCTCTCCGCTTGCTTTCTACAAATGTCCTCAGACAAATCCTCTTCACTCGTATACAACTTACAGTCCCAACTTCTACTTTGTTCTGCCTCCTCTTTCTGCCACAGGGTTTGTTTCTGTACATTCACTGATTTTCACAGCTCCTCTGTTTTCAAGGCCAGCTGCTTTCTGGACCATGAACCACTACAACCAACATGCAAAGGACAGGCAGATTGCATCTCCTGCCAACTGTGGAATCTTAGAAGATGCATACTCAGTGGGCGGGGTCTTTTCTGACATGATGGAAGTTAAGCATTACTTTGTATTTTTCCTCCAACTATCCAAAGATTGATGGCGGGGCTGGTGGTGATTCGGGCACGTTACTGTCTGCACAAACCATCACATCTGAGTCCGTGTCAACAACGACAACCACACACATCACCAAGGTAAAGCAACCTAGGGGGACCCTAGGGAGAGGATGGTACATGGCAAACAGATCTTTTCTGTATTATTCCTTTGTTCCTGTACACACTTCTAAGTAATACACAGACAGTGCCAGTGGACTAAAATGTCTTTCTTTAACCTATTTACAGTTTTATAAAGTACAAGAGGGTAAAAATATGACTAGTTATATTTAAGACATGGATAGAACTATTTCAATAAAATGTGAGACTTCTCTCATATATTTAAAATTCTAGTATGTTGATTTGGAACATATTACCAGAATGTTTTCTAAACATTTAAGAATATATAATCAACCCATGTAGTCTTGGCTTGAGAGCATCAACTGTATCTGGGGCTTGGATGTCTAAAGGTCATGTTTCACTCCAGACCTATTGAAACTGGGGGTGAGGGGGGCGATTTTCAGCTGATTCTGATGCATTCCAATGCAATTCAAGGCTGATTTTCCAGTATTTGACTTTGCTTATATTTTCACATTGGATTAGTGCTTTCGATGGTCTTAGATGTGTCTGTTATGCCCTTTCCACCCCATGTTTCAGTATAGTAAACAGCAAGCAAAAATAGCAAGCAATTTGTGTTGTGAATTAAAAATGCAGGGTATGTTGGTACACAGTTTAACAGATATCCAGCCGATAGAGCTAGTGATAAGCTTTATTTCTTAGTTCAGTGTCACTGTGTGTGATTGGTGTCTGCCTGTGTGTTTTCTTGGGACTGTGGTTTGGCCAGTGCTCACTTCAGAGGTCTTCTCCAGCCTGCCCGGGCACCCCAGGCACTCTTAGCTTGACCTGACCGGTTCCTCCGTGAGGCTGTTCATTAAGGGTCTCCTTCACCCCAGTCTTTCCCCACAGCCTGTGCTCAGCGCGTTCTGTGTCCATGTGCACGACCATACATGGAAGCAATCATGGTGTCCATGTGCACGACCATACATGGAAGCAATCATCGGATCAAACTTTTAATGAAGATCTCATTTGTTTTCCTTAAGTCAAATGAAAGTTTTGTTTTTTTTTTTTTAATTGTACTAAATCAAATGAATGAACTCACTAAATGAATCTGTATAAATGGAATCAAGCACCAAAACAGTAGTATCATACAGTGGCCTAAAAGGGAAGACACACCTAAAATGTTTGTAAGTCTACAGATGCCAAACAGTTATTTCTTCTTTCTATTCATATCCTTTTCAAAAATTGACCAACTGATAGGGAAGGAAGTCAGGGAATGTAATAGATTATCCCAGTGGAATTAGTTAGATTTTTTTAAAATGTCATCTGTTCCATTTTAATCTCACCGGAATCTTGGTATCTTAAGGACTGTTTTCAAGTAAAGGGCATGTATGGATGCTGTAACTTTAACAATAGGACTCTGTGGAACCGAGAAGTACAGCACAGAAAACACCTAGAGCCTAAGTCTTGCACTCCTCTGTATTCTGGTCTTTGGTCAGAAGTTGGAAGTAGGGCTTTGCTTTTCTTCTCTGCTTGCAAGCTCTAGTTACTGTTGTTTCTTCTTTCTTTGACCTTTAGACTGTAAAGGGTGGAATATCGGAAACAAGAATTGAGAAACGCATTGTGATCACAGGAGATGCTGCTCTTGATCACGATCAGGTAAGGCCTTCCCGTTACATCTGTGTGCATCGCCTGGATGGATCCAACTCCTAATTTTTGTGGCAAGACACTGCACAGCCTGTGCTGTGACAGCCTGTCCTGTGAGCTCTCCTAAGCACATCAGCACAAAACATGAAGAACTATTTATCTTCCACTGGGTTAACATGCAAGATGATGGGGACTTGGGTGACCAATAGGAATTGACATTGGCCTGATCTAAAGATAAGTAATCACATATTTTAAAACAAATGGCAGTTATTGACACTGCCCTAAAAAACAAGCAAAAAGCCACCAAGGTTTCTTAAGCCTAGTTTGTTGGCCATTTACAAGTGATTTTGTAGCATAAGAAAAGTTGGGCTATCAACCACTAAGTATTTTTCTAAATTATAGTTTGAGGTAGTAGCGGGGAGGGGGGAAGATTATCTTGTTTCTTTCAAAATGAAAACTTATATTTTGTTAACCAAATACTCAGCTCATGGTTGTTGTTCTTCTGCCCCTGGTAGGCACTGGCTCAGGCAATTAGGGAAGCCAGAGAGCAGCACCCTGATATGGCGGTCACGAGGGTAGTAGTGCACAAAGAAACTGAGTTGGCAGAGGAAGGAGAAGAATAAGGTGAGACTGGCCATCCACAGCATTCCCTGAGATCCTGTGCTGTGCAATTTTATATCAGAGTCTTTGCTTTCTTCAGTTTTGCGTGGTTTTCTTTGAGCTGTTGTTATCTCCAAGTGCACCTGCTCAAATGTGTATAATGGGAGTCTCTGTGGTCTGCTGGTTATCAGGTGCAAATCACTGTGCAGTGTATATATAGAGGCTGCTAGCAATTGACATCCCTCCTCTCCATCAAGTGTGTTAGGGTAGTCTGTAATTGATGTTCACAATGACCTTGCAGGATGGGGCTGTTAACTGTTATATTAAAGAGAGATTTGTCTTGTATGAATGAGATAACGAGCTAAGCCTTTAAAATCTATATGTTAAAAAGTGTGCATTAAACAGTGATCTGTAAAGAAAGCAAAATGCTTATATTACCTAAAAGTTGAAAGTTTTAGTTGGACCACGGAGGGAAAGTAATGATAAATGATGTTTAATATAACCAGTAAAAAAGGATTAATATTCCCAAAAAGTTAAAGCATTATTAAGAAAGTGTAAACATTTCTAGAGAAAAGCAGACTGAAGAGTGTACTGGTAAACTGTGTGACAACTAAGTGAACTATAAACAAGAATATTTACTTACCGGATTGCTTACGTCAGTAAACATTTAGTCTATGGAACATTTTTCACTCGTATGGCAAAAAATTATGTTTGGAAGGTTATGGGAAGAAACTATATTTGCACACTCATGTATGTTATTTCTGAGAAGACAGTTTGGCAAAACCTATCTCAAAATACTATCTTTAAACCCTTTAAGAACTGAATGGGGGCTCAGCAAGTAAATTTGCTTGCTGCTGGCTAGACAACCTCAAGTCAAACCCTGGAAGAGAAATAGCTCCTTCAAGTTGTCCTCTGACCATGAAATGTGTGCTATGGCAAAAACACTCTCACACAAACACATATATGTGCAGACAAATAAATATAGTAAAAATTAAAAGTAGTAAATACTTAGGGATGTTTGCTGATAAATACTTAGGGATGTTTGCTGATATTCCACTTCCGAGTCTGTTATATTGCATCTTTTAAGAAGCCAGTCAGATTTATCAGTGAAGGGCCTATATGTACTATAGCGACACTAGCATTAGAGCCAATGACGTGTTAAGATCAGACCAACCCACACTTGTGTTCTAGTAGTAAGACCTGAGACAATTTAAATGACCAACAGTATTGGAATTAGCACACTAGTAGCTTCTATTCGATGACTAAAGAGTTCTTGATGAAATGTGTAATTGTGACGTTTATCTGTTAGGATTTTATAAACCAGTCCTTTCACATAGAGACACAGGAAGATTACTTTAAAAGTCCATACTTTGAGCAGTCAGAGGACTGATAACTCACAGGAATGGTGAGACCATGGAGTGCAGCTTGTCCATCGAGGGAAGACCTTACTAGTTCACAGCATCCATGCTGAGGTTTTTATTTTGCTAATTTAGTCGACATGAAGTGATATGTAACTGTCATTGTAATTTTAGTTTCTTCCTTACCTTTTTGCAAGATTATTAGCCACTCATTTTTTTCCTGTGAAAATAGGAATAGCCAGAAAACTCAAAACATTTCTGTGAAATACTTAAAAACCTTTTTTTTTTCTTTCTTTCTTTCATTTATTTATTTTTTTTCAAATGATTTATTTTTTTTTAGGGGGGTCTGATTGTTTGCTTTTTTGTTGTACCACATTCATTCCTGTTGCTGTCAGAGGCCAGAAGGGAGCATCGGATCCCCTAAATTGGTAGTTATAAGGCACCGAGTGGGTGCTGGGGTTGAACACAGGTCCTCTGCCTGTGTACAGCAGTGAGTACTGTGAACCACTCAGCCATCACTCCAGCCACCATTTATTGATTCTTAATACTAAGTCTGTATGATGTTTTATGTTAAAAATATTGTGAGGCTCATGGTGTTTCTTTCATTACTAATGTAATTGAATTCATAAGCTTTATGCCCTTTTTATACTCTGGAGTATTAAAGATACTTTTCTTCTGAATATGTCAATATTAATGATGCATATGGCAAGTATCATGCTTCCATCACTTGCTTTTCCTGGCTGCGTTTCAGCTCTGCTTTTTAAATAGCTGGTCCTTTCTCTCTAAGCTGCAGTGTCACAGCTCAGCTGCTAGCGGGGAAGGTAGGCTTGTGGCTGTCAGGTCCCATCGGTCCGTGCGCATTTCTGCCTCATTGTTTTCATCGTGTGTTGTCATGCTGGGTCCTGATAGCTATAGGATGTAATGTGTGCCCCCGCTTTGGTTTCCTTTGTTCCTTCTTGATTCTTCATTGCCATGTGGGTTAACCTAGATAAAGACAGTTAATAGTAAAGCCTTCCCTCGTAGAGCCCTGGGATCATCAGATAGACATGGGGAGAAAGAAGATAAAAACCAATGGAAGGGATGTTGCAGATAGCAAATTCTACTCTAAGGTTGTCTCCAGGTTCCAAAAGAGCAGGAAAGATTTGCTGAAAGCAAGTATGCCTGCCTTTCTATGTTGTTAGTTGGTAGGTCTTTACATGCAATGTTTGAGTGTAGCAATAGCATTTTTTTTACCGCTGTGTGTTAGTATTTATCAGTAGTGTATATGATTGATTGGTTTGTTGGTTCATTGACTGAAAGTACCATAGTGATTAGGGCAATTCTTAATACAGAAATTGAATGTCTCTGTATTTAAGAGTAATGTTGAATTTAATTTGGAAGCAAAATTAGGAGTGAAATACCACACAGAAAAATCTGTAATATTTATGACATTGTTAGCTAATATTCCTGGGGACTTGCTCTATGTTTGACATTGTATCGAGACCGCTATTAATTGTTCTTAGAGTCAGTTGTAACTTGTGAGGACATTGAGGCTGGAGATTCCTTTGTGTGGCCCAAGCCAGTTAGTTGGTGACTGGCTGAGCTAGAAGGATCATTTGCCAGTTGGATTCCACATTCCACTAGGCTTTGCTGAAGGATCCATCACAGGAATCTTTCAAATAAATTCCCACACAATATACTTGGATTTATTTTAGAAAAATTCATTTTGGGCAAGTCTCTTGAGTTTTTAGCTTTGTTATGAAGCCAAATGAACAAATATAAAACTATTTTTCTTTATAAAAGAAAAAAAATCATGTTTAAATAGTCTAGTTTTTAAGGTGAAAGAATTATATCTGCTTTTCCTGCATGATGGGAAATAAGTGGAGAAAGAAAAACTGAATTTAAATGTGAGTGAAAGGTAGAATTATCTTTAGCTTTCATCCTGTAGCTGGTAACTTGTGCATGTTACCAGGATACAGGTGCCCTTCTGTGTCCCCCAGGGGAGGGAAGATGGTTTTATCTCTACAAAAGGTGAACAGATGCCTTGAGGACAAAAATTATTGGGAGAAGCATCTTAAAATGGACTGTTCCACAAACAGACCGTTACATGGCTTATGATCCTGGCAAACTTTGAACTGAGTTTTTGTCTTCAGAGTGGAGTTGTGTTAGGGTGCCTTCCACTGGGTGAAGCACTGTGGAGAACATGGGCTCACGTGGGCACCCAAGTACTGAAAGAATATAGAGCGTCTTGGCATGATCCATCTCCTGCATTGATAGGCTCCAGCAAACCAGGAAAAGCAAGCACTTCCTGCTCTCTCCATTCAGGAAATGGCAGTAGCTTAGGGAGAGCACTTTGTGTAAGCAGTTTTCAAACTTAGCGAAGTGATCGTTACCCACAGTTCTGATCTTCATCTCTCAGCTCAAGCACATGTCCACGGCCTTTGCTTTGAGGGTGAAAAGGGTGTGCGTTTGCCAGACATGGTGATGTACAATTGTGACCTTGCCAGTGGCAAGGCTGAGGCAGGACTGTGAGTTCAGAGTCAGCCCTGACCTTTCTCAGAAGAAAGGGGCGGGGTCATGCCAGGACTCTGATGCAGTCCGATTGGTGGGTGTGGTGTTTCCGTTTGATACTTGTCTAGTACTGAGACTATAGCGCCCGTGCCCTGAAAGAGGAAACCCTGTCTAGTGTGACTGATGACTGTGGAAATGGCGGGGACTGTGGTCTCCAGAAGGCGTCGTCCTGGCAACCTTCAGTCTATAGAGCACACTCTCTGCATTGTGCTGGTAATGCAGACACTTTAACAACTACCATTTCCTGAGGTAGTCTAGTGGAAATTCAGATTCTTATAATGTAAATAATAGAAATTGCTTGAAATATAAAATTAAACATACAAATTAAAAACCAAAGAATAAAAGGTTCATCTTTAGAAATGGCTACCATGCCTGTCTACACAGAACTCATTTGTAATTTCAGATATAATTGTATTGTATCGTACATAAATATTTTATTTCTGTTTTCTGTATTCCCGATTCTATCATTGCTCTGTGTTAATTGAAATTTCTTTAACTCCAAGACCTTTGTATTTTTTTTGCATAATTTTCTTTCGTTATTTTGTAAAAAGGGAAAATACAAAAAAAAAACCGTTTTTCATTTTTATTCAGACTTCTCCTTGGATAAGTGCATTACCATTTAAAGCAGTGTTAAATGCTTTTAAAAACCAATTTACTGCTGGGCATTGGTGGCTCACGCCTTGAATTCCAGCACTCAGGAGGCAGGGGCAGGCTGATCTCTGAGTTTGAGGCCAGCCTGGTCTATAAAGTGAGTTCAGGACAGCCAGGGCCACACAGAGAAACCTTGTCTTGAAAACAAACACACAAACTGTCTCCCTTTACTGAGGCTGTGCCTTTAGAGAGAGATTGGAACACTCTGTACACGAGCCTCGCTCTTTTCAACTGTTCCGCAAGGTGCACCTGTGTGAGCCTCAGGCCAAGTGTGGGAACAGCATGTGCTCGTAAAGAATTTGAGCATGGAATTAGACCTATAATGAGGTGTGTAGCCACACTGACCCATTTTTTCATTGACCAAAAGAGGGGGACACAAGCTCAGGAGTGACTGCAGGGGTTAGAAACGTTTACGAAAATTGCATAATCCAGGGTGGGCTTTGTTTGCTTGACCACAGTCCTAATACATTTAACATGATCCATGAACTTAATACCATTGACCTTATAATAAACTCTATGATGCTGTGAAAGTGAAGATATCAATGCCTGTCAATTTGTACTAACAGTATAACAAATGTGTCCAGACTTCTAAAAATATGAAATAAAATCCTGTCCTAAAGTAAGAAGGTTAGGCACAGTGGTGCACCCATTTAATCACAGCACTTGGGAGGTAGAGGCTGAGATCTCTGTGAGTTTGAGGCTAGCCTGCTCTATAGTAAACCCCAGGACAGCCAGGGCTATGCAGTGAGGGCAGTGAGGCCCTGTCTTTAAGAGAGGGAGGTAAGTAGGTAGGGAGGGAGGTAAGTAGGTAGGTAGGGAGGTAAATAGGGAGGGAGGGAGGGAGGGAGGGAGGGAGGGAGGGAGGGAGGAAGGGAGGAGAGAGGTCTGTGCACAGGAGACATGGCTTACCCAGCAGGCGCAGTCCTTGTCCACCCCAGCACAGGCAGGAAAAGGGAGAGGTTCTTGAAGTGCTTTGACCCTTACCTAAAGGCAGGATGCCTCATTTTTTGGCTGGGAAAAGTGTTAACCATTTAGACCTAGAATAAAAAAAAAAAAAAACTTCTCCCATGTTAAGTTTATTTCTTAGAGATACAAAAAAGAGAGAGAGAGAAAAAAAAAACGAATGTGTATTTACCAGTGACATTAGTGGCTCCTTGCTTGTCTCTGTCCTTCTTCAGTTTAGAATACATGCTGTGTTTTAATGCAGGAAGAACCAAGATGCATGGATGTATAAATAAGGAACTATACAAAGGAAGTTACTGCTCAGCCATCTAAAACAAATGAGGAGTCCGGTGTTCTGTCATAGGCATCCAATTACTAATAGTTAATTTATGCATGTAAAGATGTAATGAATGCATTTGACACTAAAATGCAAATGCCTTAGATTCTAAAAGCTGCTTGGAATTCTAGAAGCAGGTCAAGGTTGCTATTTGTGATTTTTACCAGAAAAATTAGCCTATTACACTGTTTCTATGATTTCACTGTGACTAAATGGGAGTAAGGGACATTTTAATGTGTGTCTTCATGTTAAGTTCAGTAGGTCTTGAAGGTTTTTCTTCAATATGTAGTGCCTTCTGTTTCCTACACATTCCTAGTTTCCCTGTGATATCATTGAAACAAATACTTTTTGCTCTCTTTTCTAATTTTATGGCATTTTTGATGGAAACAAATTTAAAGGAATGAAGTGGCACAAAATCCAGATAGAGAGAATGTCATAAAGCATGGAAAATGTCATTTTTACTGTAGATTTTCTGAGATAGCTGACATTGATCTTGTTTTTTTATCTCCAATTTTAATAGTGTATCTAACCTGTTTTTTCTAAAGCATTATTTCAGCAGATGAAGGGGTTTGTTTTCTAGTCTAAATTAGACAGATCAGGGGAGCTGTGTTAAACAGATTCACCAGGCAGAGCACAGATGTCAAAGGGCAAGAATAGGTAGTGTGATCAAAGGTCACTGATAACCGGCTGTTTTCCCTCACCATCCCGTGTTTCTCTTTGGGATTGTTATCCTGAAAGACTTTGCTTCTGTTGATTTCCCTGCCTAGACTCAGGCAGAGTACTAATGAGTAATGAACTAGCCTAAGGAAGACAGCAGGGTGCGAAACAATGCATTTGATTGGTCATCTTGCCCCGAATAATCAAGACCTTTTACTATTATCTGTGCTGCTTCTAAATAATGGGGCACATTTTTCCCCTATCAAAATAAGAATTTTCTCTCACCAATACCACGTACATTCTGATTTATTTTGGGAGTGTTATCTTCTGGAAGGAGCATTAATGTCCACTGTCCTCTACAATTAATACATTTGCCAGAATTTCTGCCAAGTTGAAATGCAAAATGAAGCAGGTGTGTGTAAGAATCTTTAGTAGCTCAGGGGTGGTAATCATCGTTAGTGCCCTGGTGCTGCCTGTGATGCGTGTAAAAATCTTGGTGGCTCAAGGATGGTTAATCATCTTTAGTCCTGTGTGCTATGTGCCTTTGACTATGCGCTTGTGAGCTTCTCTGAGACACTTCTTTTTTTTTCTGATACATCTGATTTCCTTATACCTGTTAGTCTTGCTTGGATCCCTTTGTGCTAACTCATAGATCCATCCTATAGTCCTAATGGCTCACACAGGCTCTATGCCTACCCTCTTCCTTATTTTAAGACCCAGACTTTGTAATTTTATAGGAACACTCTTTTTAGTTTTTGTTTTGTGACAAGGTGTCACTATTCTAGCCTTGGCTGACCTGGAATTCACTATGTAGACCAGGATGACCTCTAACTCATAGAGTTCCACCTGCCTCTGCCTCTTGGGTGGCCATTCATCCTCAGTTACACAGACAGGTATTTTTGCCCAACACTATTCTGTGGCAACAACTCAAGTCTGAGTCTTCCCCTTTTACAGTAACATATGTCTTCTTCACCCGCCCTCCCCTTCTGACCAGAGTTCTGGCCTCAGCTCCCTTTTCCTTCAGCATGCTCACCGTGCTGAAATTGCAGTAGTGCTTTCAGACTGTGAGTCCAGCTATGCCCATCCTCAGGGCCAGTGGAGAAGCAATCCCATCTCCCTGGTGTGTGCTGTGCAGAGCTGACCACCCCTGCTCATGACCCCCCAAGCACCCCCCCTCCGTCCCCTGGCTCTGTAATTCTCCTCCCGATCATTGCAGTTATCTGTTGTTCCCTGCCACACACACCAGTTTTTATGAGCTTAGCTTTGTGCTTCTCATTCCAGTGTTGCAGAGCAGACCTGGCATCCTTACCCCCTCATTTTCATTCCCACCCTTTACAGGTGGGTATTGCTGTTGCATTCCCTTCTGGCTCCTCTCCTACAGAAGTCCTTAAGTCCATCATAGTCTTGTAATGCTCTCTCTGTCCTCCTCACTTGTCCTCAGCACCCGAAAAAATCTTCCAGTTCATCTCAACGAAATAAAAACAGACTAACTTTCCCCAAGTCTAACTTAAAACCTGCATTGGTTAACTTATTTTTACAGAAGCTCTCTTCACCCAAAGGGAATCTGTTTTACTTCTCCTGTTACATGCCTGAAGCCAAATAGTACTGAATCCTCCGTGTACTGGCCCCCTTTATCTCTTCAGTTAAGGGTAGCCCTTTTTGACTTCCTTTCAGAATTGCAGATATTTCTGATTAGGTACCTTGGGGCCATTAATAAGGAAAGTAGGAGCTACTTGAATGCAGCCACTATGAGGCCATGACATTTGACCTAATAACCAACACAGCTGCTAACTGATGAATGGGCAAGTAGTATATTCGTATTAACTCATTAACTGGGTGGGTCTGGGTGAGAGCCTTTAGTTTCAAACTTTACTTTTGAAGTTCCCATGTCATATGGACCCATGGACCACAGCTGACTATAGGTGCCTGCAACTGCAGAAGGGAAAACTAGATAATGGGCTGGGGGAGAGGGGCAGTATTACACTGTGTGTGTTGTCTCTTTATGGTAATTCAATCATGTTTTTGTTGCCAGCTCTTCTGTACTTGGCAATTTTCCAGAAATTGTAAGGTTTCTAGGCTTGGAATAAGTTCTCATATTTTCAGTAAACATGTTATTTCCTGTTAACATAGGCAGATAATTATTGATTACTTGATTGAAAAGTTTGATTACTTTCTTTTTAAGCCTGTTTTTGGAATACTTACACTTTATGTCTTTTGCTATTTTTTCTTTCCTAGAAAGTCATTTTTTAAACAACATTCAACTTCATGAATCTGAAGAACTTTGACCATTCCAAGTCTTAACGCCACATCACTACTCCAGCAAATTTGTGCTACAACTGGTAACATTGACCAGAAGTCTGAAGAATTAAAATGCCAACACCAAACCTTACCTTAACAGCTCTGGTCCATACTATCCCCATGCATTTCTAATATATTATTTGTTTTATAACCCCTTCTAAATATTCTTGCTTCCTCTTTCCTTGCTTTCTTTCTCTCTTTTTTTAAAATTCTTTGGTTTTTTTGTTAAGGGTTTTGTATTTGTTTCCTTTTCCTACCTGCTTTTTATGACTCATTTGCTCAAATGACAGTGAACAAAGCCAGCCTCGGCTGGTAAGGTGCTGTTCACTTGAACAGGTGCTCTTGTGTGGAGAAGAAACTCTGACTAATTTAGACAGTGATTTCCATCCTTCAAGATCGTTCCCATTGAATTCTTATAGTCAATATTTACAGTGTTCAAATAGTAGTAAATATACTGCATGAGAACATATCACTACCAATTGAAAGCATTCCTTACGTCTTGAAACTTTTCTAATATTTGGGAACTTCTCTATGGATGGTTTTATATTGAACCCATTGACTTCCCAGTCCTGTGACTTTGTCCTTCAGAGACTCTCTAGACTGGAGAATTACGAAGCTCACTGACCAAGCACTGTGTCGAGAGACCGTTCTCGTCCACAGTGCAGTACTTCTCAGACATATGCTTTGCCACAGCATTCCAGAACAGGAGAACTACAAAACGTGCCCTTCCCTTTTCCTACTAAGAGAAAATCAGGCAGCTTAAAGCCTTAGTGCTTTCTTTCTTAACCTTTCCAATTTCAATACTTCCCATTATTTGAACACTTGAGTAGTGCACTTGCTTTGTATTAAACTTCTTTGCCTACATGTAAAACTGACCTTTTGTTACTGAGCAGGCATATTTCTTTAAGATAGTTTGATGACTCGAAGGTTTGAAGAGGGTAGGGGACAGTGGTGGGGTTTTGTTGATTATATGAAAGCTATGCCATTTAAAGCTGATGCCAGCCAGAGACCTGATAGGGACTTATTAACTGTATTGAACATGTTTTCCATTTGCTTTTGACTCTGTATAGTTACAATTCCAGATTAGATTTATAGCAGCTTCAAGTTGTATTAAATGGTATTTTGCTTTATGTAATACTGTTATAAAATAAAAGTTTGTTTATTCTAAAAGCCTGTCACTTCTCTTTTTAGAAACATTAATCGGAATGCTATTTTTCTGTCAGAAAATCTAATGTTGAGTTTTAAGAGTGGCTAAGCTCTGGGTTTTGCTCGTTTTAATTTATTGCGGTTGCCAGCATCAGTTGTTCCTTGCACCTGGTTCAGTGCTGCTCCTGGCTTGTTTGAATTCTGCAAAGGAGATCTGGCCTTCTTTTGTTGGCGTGCTTTTATTGGCTGCACCATTTGTGCCTTGGTACTGTGCTTCGTGCCCTACTTTATTTTATGTCCACCATGTCTTCACGTGGCAGATGAAGCAGCCTTGCTCAGGGACTTCTTCCACATGTAATGAAATGGCTTACTGGGAAGCTTTCACCGACGCATACCACAATTTGGGCTTAGTTGTCTTTTAAACATTCTACAGAAAAATGGTCAACAGAGTACAATCTTTTTGAAATGTTATATAGAATTTTTCATGTAGTCATTTAAAATGAGCACAGGAAATATAATTTGCAAAGCTGTCTTCTTCGAGATCTGTTCACACTAAATTATGTCTCAACTTGTGAAAGGCCTTTCTCACGTTCTCTATATTACAAAAACAACCCTGTGGAGAAGGCTCTCAGCTAGCCAGGCCTTGGGAACATTATGAAACCAAATGTGCTTCTGTACATATACTTTGCATCAGACAGTATTATAGGGCTCGTATTTAAGAGTCATCTATTAATCTTCCTGTGATGGGGGTAAGGACTCTTTTCTTTTGTACATGGACCTAATGATGATAACATGATGGAAAGCCCTTCTACAGCACCTGTGGGCTGGGCAGTGCAGTCAGTGCATGGGGTCAGTTTTATTTTGTGGAGGAAGCACAGACAGTCGTCCTGGAGCTCTCAGAAGCGTGTTTGAGATATAAAGAGACACAGGGCCCAAAGAGCCACATGGGAGAGTGTTGATGATTATGCCTTGTGAGGACATCAATAAAGGCTATCTTTTAAAAATGCTTTGTACTTCTGACAAAGGGATTCTCAGAATGTCTTCATCTCATTTGTAAACTAAGCATAACGGCAGAATAAGTAGGAAACTGGATTCAAGAGTTTCAAGATACAGATTTGAAATTTTTAAGTAGAAAGGATATTTTTAAAGCCTCGATCATACTTTAAATAAAAACCTTCAGAGTGTGTGCTTCCTGCCCTATTCACTTTTGGATCATTTATGCTAGGATCTGCTGTAACCTGACACCGGTAACTGGGAATCTGAAGGGGAGAGTTTATTTTGTCTTACTGGTTCAGAGGTTGTAGTCCATCATAGTGAGGGAGGCATGGAGGAGCAGGTCACAAGCAGGAGTGTGTGGCATAGTCATCTCATCAAGCAGGGCAGGTCTGTGGTATAACTTTCAAAACCCCACCCATAACGTTCCACCTGTGCTCCTCAGGACCCTGCCCATAGCTTCAAAGTAGAGAGGGCTGAGTGCTCAACACATGATCCTGTAGGGACCTTGCAGATTCAAACCATAACATCTTAGAGCATGCTTTGAAATTTTTAATCTGAATCTATCGAACATTTCCAAATCCTGACAGTTACAAGGTATGAATTCTGATTTCTAAGATATACTTTTTCCAGTTAAGATACCAAGAAAACTGTTCTTGCTTTTCCTGTTGCTTTTCCTTGCTTTTCCTAGAAAGCACTGAAATCTCTGGAAAAAAATTAACATTTATCTTATGGTTAAGAGATTGTAAATACTGCTTCAGAGGACATGAATTGTACCTTCCATGCCTAATTTTCTGTCTTACCAGCTAGGTTTAGGATGTGACGTGGCCATGGACTTGGAAGTCCATTTCTGGAATGCTTTGGAGGATCACCTTGGGGAACACCAAACTGCCAAGTTGTTGGCAGTACCAAACTGCCAAGCACCAAACTAACACAGTCTTAAAGCTGGGAATAGGTATGGTGAATTGTGCCTATAATCCTGGCAATTCCTGAGACTGAGGCAGGAAGATGTTGAGTTCAAAGCCATCCTGTCTACTTAGTGAGTCCTAGACCATATACAGAAGGAAAATTCCCATCCCCCAAAAGCTTTCATAGCTGTATAAGAATCCTTAGTTATTTTCACTGACTAATAAGAGCCATGTGAAGGTGCTTAAAATACCCATTGGAGTGTTTTATTTGAAGGACTGCATGGACTTGGAGAAATGTTATCCCTACTGGATACTTTTTTTAATTCTGTCTGCATGTATGCCTGCAGGCAAAAAGAGGGCACCAGGCCTCATTACAGATGGTTGTGAGCCACCGTGTGGTTGCCAGGAATTGAACTCAGGACCTCTGGAAGAACAGTCAGTGCTCTTAACCTCTGAGCCATCACTCTAACCCTGGGTACTTCTTTCAGATAGTAGAAAGGAATATTAGCAATAGGTTAGAGGGAAACAGAAAAGGGATTAGGAGCTGCTGGGGGTGAGAACGCTTGGGTTTGTGGGTAGCTGTGGCTCCCTGGGGCAAGAATTAGAGCTATAGACTCACTGTGGAGTGTATAGGGAGACAGTGGCCTGGGCTAGAAGCTGGCAGAGGCAAGGATGACTAAACAAGATCTAAACTGACATTTGAGCATACAGAGAGCAAAAGTGTAACTCTGCAGCTCTTGACTGCTCAGTAGGAGATTTGGTGACATTAGCAAGCAGGGCCTTTGCTGAGTTGGTAATAAAACCCTTGGGACGTTTCTTGACAGACAGCTAACACGCCAGTCGGTTGTTCGTAATAAAAATGCACACACATCTGGTTTTGTTAAGCTTTTGCTCTCATTGTGTTCAGCAACACAGTCATCCATTGGCAGTGTGGTTATGCTTACTGTATAGAACGTGTGTTTCAAACTCATCTGTTGCCACAGTAGTCAAGCTAGTGGTCAGGCATCCACCAAAGCCAAAGTCAGAGGCTTTCTGGAGGAAGAGGGAGCAAACTGATTGTTCAGCCACAGGTTTGGCTGGCAGCTGGCCAAGATGGGACTCTGTCCTTTCACACCTCCTGTTGAAGACATCATTTTTACACAAACTGCTTCCACCAGGGGCTAAAAAGAGATCCTTCCCAGAACTGAAGGAATAGTGTTATTTCTTCCATATGGCATTAACACTTAGGAATTACCCAGCTCTGAAAGACCGAACAGACATTCTCAATATACTTGAGTGCTATTAAAATGGAGAGATGAATGTCTTCAGTTGAAGTGAGAGTTAAATTTCTCAAGAAGTGTAACCAGAAGGCTCACTGGATGCCTGTGAAGAATTCCAGGTTGGGGCTGAAAGGAAGAGTCAGGAAACAAGCTACAGTGAGACATTCGGACTTTTGACCATTACAGTCTTATATGCTTGTATGACTGTCACTACCAAAAGTGGTGAAAAAAAAAAAAACAAAAAACAAAACACAAAGCCATACTGGCTGTTTCTTAAGAAACCTACTTAAAGCACAATGGAGTCATGTGCAAAGGTTAGAATGTAGCCAGGGTGAGGGTGTACTGAACCTTTTGTCTCTATTAACTAGAAAAGTATGGCAAACACAGTAAGGGCTAGTCTATTTTAACTGCTATCTTGAATTAAATGCTTTTCCAATTACTAAATGCTTCTTTTTCAATCATCTCATGTTCTTTAGAGCCCACTGAGTGATAAGGATTCTGCTAGTAAAATGCTTTCTACTTAGAAATAGCTCCCTGGTGTTTGGGTTTTACTGAAAAACTTGGATTATTCTCCTAGGGATCAGGTGAACATTTGCTTTCTCTTCCCTTCCCAGGTACCAGCTCATCAATACCTCCGATATGAGGAGGGCTGTGTTGGTGAGTGGCCCATACCTAGTATTGAGACTTCACTCGTTTGTCTCAGCCTGCCACAGAGGTTACATAAAACAGTTGGGAGGAGGAGAGATACAAAGGTCTTGAATGCTGTCTGAAACTGCCGTGTGTCAGACTGGCTAGAGGGCCAAATGGCACCATCTTTTGCTATTGATATCTCTCAGGGTTTCCTTACTTTTAAAGGGAAATTTATGTGATAGGGTGATATGATGAGGTGTAGGGATTTTATTTTAAAAACACTGCCCCCAAGTAAACATAGTCACAATAAAAGAAATTCATGATGTGTCTCATGCATTGAGCACATTAAGGAAAGTGTTAAGTCCTTGGTACTTTGTGAAGAACTGCCATTAGGGAGATCACACAGAAGTCCTCTGATAGGAGCTGATGCATCCTCTGTCCTTTCTCATTTTTCCATGGTTCTGTTGGCCACTGCTCTGTGACTTTTACAAATTCATGGCGCTTTGTTCACTGAATCACCCCAACAGTCACCTTCGTCTCCTTCGCCTGTATGGGGAAGAACCATACTTGTTTTGGCGATCAGAAATTTGAGACAGTTCTCCATCAACTGAAAGGAAAAATATTGGTTAATTTGTAGACACTTGAGTGCCTTGGACCCTTTATAGCCCGTTAGAAGCCACTGGCCAGGATTCCAGATTGGAAGCTCTGTGGGCTACCAAAGACTTGGTCTCTACTGTGGGACCTAATCTCTTCAGCTTCCTTCTTTAAAAAAAAAAAAATTACATTAATGTTCTGTCTGTGTTTATTTGTGTGTAGTCATGAACATGACACAGCACATGCGGAGATCAGAGAGCTTGGGTTAGTCTGTTCTCACCCTCCACCCTGGGTTCCAGGGATCGATCACAGATCATCAGGTTTGGTGGCAAACACCTTTCCCAACTGAGCCATATTTCTGGCCCTCCTCAGCCACTGCAAAAGAATGTTCCTAGTTAAGACAGATGGCCACTGTATTAGAGATCATTAACATGCAAGAATCCTATTTAGCAGATGTTCAGATTCTCATATTCAGGAAACTTTCATTAAGCATATGCATAGGCTAAGAGTTGGGCTGTATAGGAATCAGAAGAACTTTCTGTCCTTCCTCCTTTCCCAAAATATACTTGAGTATGTGTCATCTGTAGGCAAATTGGCTTTTTCTGTTTTCCCTTTGGACATTAAGCTTTTGACATCTTTT